AGCGATGCCTAAGCCACGCCTACTCCTTTCCTTGCAGGCATCCAAACAGGAGGAGGCGTGGCCGAGAGATACCTAAGCCACGCCCCTACCTTTTCTTTCAGGCATCCACACAGGAGGAGGCGTGGCCGAGCGATGCCTAAGCCACGCCCACTCCTTTCCTTGCAGGCATCCAAACAGGAGGAGGCGTGGCCGAGAGATACCTAAACCACGCCCCTTGTCTTTCCTTTCAGCGTCTAGGCAGAAGGAGGCGTGGCCGAGCGACGCCTAAGCCACGCCCACCCTTTCCTTGCAGGCATCCGAACAGGAGGAGGCGTGGCCGAGCGGTGCCTAAGCCCCGCCCCCGCCTTGCATTTCAGTCTTCCAGGCAGGAGGAGGCGTGGCCGAGCGACGCCTAAGCCCCGCCCCCGTCGGGTCTATCCACCCGAGCAGTTCGTCGAGGCGTTTGCAAACGTGGCTGGCGGCGAGGGGAGGCCCTATTCCCGGGATGCAGAAGTTCCTCCAGCAGCTGCCTTCGGGGGCGGCGGCGGCGGCGGCTCACTTGGGCAAGTCCCCGGCGCCGTCGAAAGAGGCCAAGAGCCCCGTGCTGACCCCGGAGGGCGCCCCGCAGGCCTGGTACAGCTCCCTCCAGGGCGACGAGCTCAAGCTGCTCAAGTCCCCCGAGCAGGAGGGCGCCCCACCGATCGAGGGAGGCCCCGACGGGAGCCCGGCCCAGCCACTACGGTAGGGGAGAGCGGAGGGGACCCCAAAGGGCATCTAGACCAAGCTTGGGCCTTCCAGGTGTTTGGGACTTCAAGTCCCACATTCCTCACAGCTTCAGGCCCCTTCCTTTTCTCCCCTCAGCCGCTTAAGCGGGAAAAGGAAGGGGCCTGAGGCTGTGAGGAATGCTGGGACTTGAAGTCCCAAACACCTGGAAGGCCCCAACCTGCTGGAGAATGAACGCAGCCTTCCACTGGCATCTTCGCTTCTCCAAATCCTTGGCAAACAGCCCTAGCTTGACGTTGCTGTGGCAACTGCCTCGAAACCATGGTTTTATCTTTCACCGATTCCCGGCGGCGATAAATATTTCACAAAGGTGTGGGTTCGGGTTCCTTCGGAACGACGGATTGGGTTCCTCCGTCCGGCTCTTGTTGTCACTTGAGGACAATGTGGGACGGTGAATGAATGAACGACCACTCGAGCGGCTCTGTGACTCACCATTGTTTACATTCGCTGTGTTCTAAGTTCTATAGGTCACGTCGTATTATTGTCAGCCGCCTCGAGAAGGAAGGATAGAAATAATAGGTTCTAAATCAATGTTTCTCAACCTAGGGGTCGTGACTCCTGGGGGGGTCACAAAAGGGTGTCAGAGGGGTCGCCAAAGACATCAACAAACACAGTATTTTCCGTTGGTCATCTGGGTTCTGGGTTCTGTGTGGAAAGTTAGGTCCAATTCCAAGCAAACAGTATCCCACCAAACCCTTCCAGTATTTTCCGTTGGTCATGGGAGTTCTGTGTGCCAAGTTTGGTTCACTTCCATCATTGGTGGAGTTCAGAGTGCTCTTTGATTGTAGGTGAACTATAAATCCCAGCAACTACAACTCCCAAATGTCAAGGTCTATTTTCCCCAAACTCCGCCAGTGTTCACGTTTGGGCATATTGAGTATTCGTTCCAAGTTTGGTGAGCTGAAACTCCCAAACTCAACGTCAATGCCCACCAAACCCTATAACTACCAAATGTCAAGGTCTATTTCCCCCAAGCTCCATCTGTGTTCCTAGATGGGCATATGGAATATTCGTGCCAAGTTTGGTCCAGATCCATCGTTGCTTGAGTCCGCAGTGGTCTCTGGATGTAGGTGTACTACAACTCCCAAACTCAACATCAACGCCCACCAAATCCTATAACTCCCAAATGTCAAGGTCTATTTCCCCCAAGCTCCATCTGTGTTCCTAGTTGGGCGTATGGAATATTCGTGCCAAGTTTGGTCCAGATCCATCATTGCTTGAGTCCGCAGTGGTCTCTGGATGTAGGTGTACTACAACTCACAAACTCAACATCAATGCCCACCAAACCCTATAACACCCAAATGTCAAGGTCTACTTCCCCCAAGCTCCATCTGTGTTCCTGGAATATTCGTGCCAAGTTTGGTCCAGATCCATCATTGTTTGAGTCCACAGTGCTCTGGATGTAGGTGAACTACAACTCCAAAACTCAAGGTCAATGCCCACCAAACTCTTCCAGTATTTTCTCTTAGTTATGGGAGTTCTGTGTGCCAAGTTTGGTTCAATTCCATCATTGGTGGGGTTCAGAATGCTCTTTGATTGTAGGTGAACTATAAATCCCAGCAACTACAACTCCCAAATGGCAAGGAGGAGGTGGTGGTGGAGAAGATGGAGGTGAGAAGAGAGAAGGGAGAAAGTGAGGAAGGGTGGGCCTAGGGAGGAGAGCCTGCGGGGGAGGGCAGGGCTTTGAGAGGGGTAGAGTGGCCTCTCTATGGCCGAATCCCAGGGAAAAAGAGAAGTAACAATCCAAATCCATCCTACATAAATCCCAGCAACTACAACTCCCAAATGTCAAGATCTGTTTCCCTTAAACTCCATCTGTGTTCATATTTGGGCATATGGAATATTCGTGCCAAGTTTGGTCCAGATCCATCATTGTTTGAGTCCACAGTGCTCTCTGGATGTGGGTGAACTATAACTTCACAACTCAAAGTCAATGCTCACCAATACCCTTCCAGTATTTTCTGTTGGTCTGGGAGTTCTGTGTGCCAAGTTTGGGTCATTTCTTTGTCATTGGTGGAGTTCAGAATGCTTTGATTGTAGATGAATTATAAATCCCAGCAACTACAACTCTCAAATGACAATACCAATCTTCCCTCCAACCCCACCAGTATTCAAATTGGGTATTGTGCCAAATTTGGTCCAGTGAATGAAAATACATCCTGCATATCAGATATTTGCATTATGATTCATAACAGCAGCAAAATTACAGTTATGAAGTAGCAATGAAAATAATGTTATGGTTGGGAGTCACGACAACATGAGGAACTGTATTAAGGGGTCGCGGCATTAGGAAGGTTGAGAAACAGTTTTAAATTCTATAGATTGCGTCCTGGGGGCGCTGTGTGCCAAGTTTGGTCCAATTCCATCTTTGGTGGAGTTCAGAGTGTTCATTGATTGGAGGTAAACTATAAATCCCAGTACCTACAGTTCCAAAATGTCTAGTTCAATTCCCCTCAAAACCCACCAGTATTCAAATTTGGGCATATCGGGAATGCATGCCAAGTTTGGTCCAGATCCATCATTGTTCGGGTTTATTGTGTACTCTGGATGTAAGCGAACTACAACTCCTCAAAATTCCTCCGAAGACCTCCAGTATGTTTTTGTTGGTCATAGGGGTTCTGTGTGCCAAGTTAGTTCCAGGTCCATTGTTGGTGGAGTTCAGAGTACTCTTAGATTGCAGGTGAACTATACATCCCAGTACATACAAATCCTATAAATCACTAGCCGTCCCCTGCCACGCGTTGCTGTGGCCCAGTCTGGTGACCTGGAAAATAAAGTAATGGTTTCTAATATATGTAATTCCTTTATGCTTGTGGGTAAACAGTATTTCTTGTTGTTTCTATGTCAGTGTTGATGTGGAGATTGTCTGGTTTGCCTACTCTGAAACATGCAACATATAATTGTCCTTCTTTAGGGGTCCCTTTCAAATCTATACTATATCTGTGTGCGTGTGTGAATCATATCTATTCTATCTATATCTATGGCTGGATGGCTCTTTGTCAGGAGGACTTTGATTACATTTTCTTGCCCTGGTGAAGGGAGTTGGATTGGATGGCCTTAAGTATTTTCTGTTGGTCATGGGGGTTCCGTGTGGGAAGTTTGCCCCAATTCTGTCGTTCGTGGGGTTCAGAATGCTCTTTGATTGTAGGTGAACTGTGAATCCCAGTGACCTCAACTCCCAAATGTCAAGGTCTATTTCCCCAAACTCCATCTGTGTTCATATTTGGGCGTATTGAGTGCTTGTGCCAAGTTTGGTCCAGATCCATCATTGTTTGAGTCCACAGTGCTCTCTGGATGTAGGTGAACTACAACTCCCAAACTCAAGGTCAATGCCCACCAAACCCTTCTAGTGTTGTCTGTTGGTCATGGGAGTTCTGGTGCCAAGTTTGGTTCAATTCCCTCATTGATGGAGTTCAGAATGCTCTTTGATTGTAGGTGAACTATAAATCCCAGCAACTACAACTCCCAAATGACAAAATCATATTTTTTGAGTGATTGTCACTCCTTGTGTTGTGAGACGTTTTGTTGCCAAATTTGGTGTGATTTCGTTCATTGGTTCTTTTGTTTTTAAGGTACTCATTATGCACAGAGCATTTTTATATATAGATAGTGAATTCTCCCCAAACCTTTCTAGCATGTTCAGTTGCTGATCAAGTCCTCTGTTTGCTGTGTACCATAGAAAATAATAGGAAGGGGTTAAGGGAGAGGCAGTGGGCGGAGTTATGCAAATTCCACACCAATGGAGAGAGTCAGAAACACTGGGATGTCTGTGGTGGAGGAAACACATCAAATCTCGGATGGAATTGCCTTCACTTGGGTGGTGGGTAGTGGGGTGTTTGTGGAGGACATTGGCCGGGCTCTCGGACATGTTTACGTCGCTCACTACAACCTGCAATGTCATTGGAGGGAGGGCCATTGGTGTCTCCTGAGTTGTGGGAACTAGAGCTGTTTGTGTAAGTGGACATCCCAGCCACATACACACATACATGTTTTCACTTTTATTATCTGTGTATAGATTGATGGGGATTCTATTTTTGCTGGCAGGCAGCAGGAGAAACAATGGTGGGATGTTCTACTCCGGGTGCCAAAAGAACATTAGAAACATAGCAGACGTGGCTTTGAAGGTGGTGCTTTTCGTCAGGCAGCAAAATATCCTGGGGTGGCCCTGTTTGATTGCCCTTAAGGCGTATTATCAGTGTGCTTCTGTGATAACAATCCCCTGCCTTTCTTTTGTGCAGACATGACGATCTGAAGGAGATGTTGGACAGTAACAAAGATTCGCTGAAACTTGAGGCCATGAAAAGGATTGTGGCGGTGAGTCAGTCCATGGATCACTATAACTTTACTAATTAGTTCTGCATACTAGTGACATACTTGCAGCAAGAGGCTATAAGCTCACCCTTAAGTTACGAGGGTTGAATGAAAAGTAATGCCTCCACCTTCTATTTTAATAGGAATCAGCTGGTTTTCCCTGTGATAAGCAGTAAGAGCATCTAAAGCTTTGGAGAGCTTCTGTTCAACCATTTCAAAGCTCTCTGCTTGAGCGGTGATGGCATGATCGTTAGCATAGATAAACATAGAGAATCCTCAGAGCTTGAGATGCCTGTCTGTTCATAATCTTAAAAGCACACGCCTATGTTTTAGATGGATTAGGAATCCCTGTGATAAGCAGTTAGATCATCTAAAACTTTGGAGAGCTTCTGTTCAACCATTTCAAAGCTCCCTGCTTGAGCGGTGATGGCACGATCGTCAGCGTAGATCAGGGGTCCACAAACTTTTAAAACAGAGGGCCAGGTCACAGTCCCTCAAACTGTTGGAGGGCCGGATTATAATTTGAAACAAAATGAAAGAATTCCTATGCACACTGCACATATTTTATTTGTAGTGCAAAAACACTTAAAAACAATGCAATAATTGAAATGAAGAACAATTTCAACAAATATAAAATTATTAGTATTTCAGTGGGGAAGTGTGGGCCTGCTTTTGGCTGATGATATAGGATTGTTGTTATTGTTGTGTGCTTTCAAGTCGTTTCAGACTTAGGTTGACCCTGAGCGAGGGCCGGGTAAATGACCTTGGAGGGCCACATCTGGCCCCCCGGGCCTTAGTTTGAGGACCCCTGGCATAGATAAACATAGATAATCCTCAGAGCTCGAAATGCTTGTCTGTCCTTAAGCTTAAAAGCACACTTCTATGTTTTAGATGGATTAGGAATCCCTGTAATAAGCAGTAAGAGCATCTAAAGCTTTGGAGAGCTTCTGTTCAACCATTTCAAATCTCTCTGCTTGAGCGGTGATGGCACGATCGTCAGCGTAGATAAACATAGATAATCCTCAGAGCTCAAGATGCCTGTCTGTTCTTAAGCTTAAAAGCACACTTCTATGTTTTAGATGACTTAGGAATCAGTTGGTTTTCCCTGTGATAAGCAGTAAGAGCATCTAAAGCTTTGGAGAGCTTCTGTTCAACCATTTCAAATCTCTCTGCTTGAGCGGTGATGGCACGATCGTCAGCGTAGATAAACATAGATAATCCTCAGAGCTCAAGATGCCTGTCTGTTCTTAAGCTTAAAAGCACACTTCTATGTTTTAGATGACTTAGGAATCAGTTGGTTTTCCCTGTGATAAGCAGTAAGAGCATCTAAAGCTTTGGAGAGCTTCTGTTCAACCATTTCAAAGCTCTCTGCTTGAGCGGTGATGGCACGATTGTGAGCATAGATGAAACTCTCTGTCCCTTCTGGGAGTGGCTGATCATTTGTATAAATGTCAAACATTGATGGTGCATGCACACTCCCCTGAGGCAGGCCGTTCTTCTGTTTGTGGACTAACCCCACTGTTTCTTCTCTTGACCCCAGATGATCGCCAGAGGGAAGAACGCATCTGATCTCTTCCCCGCTGTAGTCAAGAATGTGGCTTGCAAGAATATAGAGGTAAGGATTCTCTTGGGTTCTAGAGCAATAAGGGAGGGGATTTCACATTCAATGCCGTTATACAATCAAAAGGACAGGCAATACATAAACAAAGATATAGGCTTTCCCCCTTCTTTTCCCATCTTCGGCATCTGGAGGCTGGGCTTGACTCCGGCCACAGGGAGGTGCTGTCGCTCCATCTTCCATTCCAAGGAGATTTGTTCTCCGTAGACAACCTCCCGATCGAATAGCTGGCATGTCCTTATGGGCGCCTTTTATTAAAGCGGTACTTATTTATCTGCTGACAACCACCACTCACAAAGAGCTTTACATATGCTGATGACCTTGGCCTAACAACACAAGATTTTCAAACAGCTGAAACCCAACTTACTGATGCCTTGAAAGATCTCTCCAGCTACTCCAAAGATGACCACCTGAAGCCTAACCTTGCCAAGACACAAGTGTGTGCTTTCCACCTACACAACTGTGAAGCCAACAGGAAAGTGAAAGTCATCTGGGAAGGTCAAGAGCTTGAACATTGTTTCCATCCTAAATATCTCGCCTCACCTTAGATCGAACACTAGGAAACACTGCTTGAACACCAAGTACAAATTAGCTGCACTCAGTAACATCCTGCGGAAACTTACTAGCAGCACATGGGCTGCAGACCCAAAATTAATAAGAACATCCACCCTAGGCTTGTCTTACTCAACTGCCGAGTATGCCTGCCCTGTTTGGCATAGGTCTGCCCATGCAAAGCAGGTGAACACAGCATTGAATGAAACATGCAGAATAATCACAGGATGTCTTAAACCTACACCTGTTGGTAAATTCTACCTCTCTGTCTATCTACCTATCTACCTGCCTACCTACCTATCTACCTCCAAAATTAATAAGAACATCAGCCCTAGCCTTGTCTTACTCAACTGCCGAGTATGCCTGCCTTGTTTGGCCTAGGTCTGCCCATGCAAAGCAGGTGAACATAGCATTGAATGAAACATGCAGAATAATCACAGGATGTCTTAAACCTACACCTGTTGATAAACTCTACAAGCTAGCTGGCATTGCCCCCCCCTCCCCCCGCCAATTAAGACCATCAGCCCTAGCCTTGTCTTACTCAACTGCTGAGTATGCCTGCCCTGTTTGGCATAAGTCTGCCCATGCAAAGCAGGTGAATATAGCATTGAATGAAACATGCAGAATAATCACAGGATGTATTAAACCTACACCTGTTGATAAACTCTACAAGCTAGCTGGCATTGCCCCCCCTGATGTGCGATGGGAAGTTGCTGCTAAATGTGAGAGAAATAAAGTTGAACACTGTGAAAGCCATCATCCACTGCATGGCTACCGGCCTCCTCCCAGTAGATTCAAATCAAGGAGAAGGTTTATGGGAACTATCACTCCTCTTGGCATTCCCCCAGCAACAGCAAGGGTATCCCCAACTGGATGCCCCCCCACGAGGGAGGGTCGTCCTCCACGGGCAAACCAAGAGTGGGCAACTTGGAAGTCCCTGAACAGACTCAGAAGTGGAGTGGGCTGATCAAAAGACAACCTGGCAAAATGGCACGACCTAAAATCCCACACGTGTGACTGTGGAGCAGAACAGACAACTCCACATCTGTATGCTTGTACACTATGCCCTGCCTCATGTACAGAGGAAGAACTGTTGGAGGCTACAGACAATGCCTTACTGTTGTCCGTTTTTGGTCAAAATACATTTAGCCACCTGCACTCCTTCTCTTTTTATCAGTTTTATACTAATTTATGCAATGCTTTTGATAAGAAATAAAGAAAATAAACCTACTCACATTGCTGTTTTAGATCTGCTAGGTGAGCAGAAGCTGGGCTGACGGCTGGGAGCTCACCCCAACCTGGGCTTGAACTGTCAACCTTTCAATTGGCAAGATTTTCTGCAGCTGGCAGTTAACCCGCTGTGCTAAAACCCAGCCCTATACTCGAGTGTAGTATTGTGGAAGGACTGTTGTTGCTTGGAAATGCATAATTTGTAGATGAGGAGAGGATTTCAAATCTTGGGTCCAAATTTGGCTACTCTGAGCTCAGCCTGGCTCTCTAGATATTCTACATCTAGATGGGAAATAGGCAGATACGAAATGGTAATATTATGAAGCTTCTCAACAGGCCATGGCAAATAATGATGTTTCTTTGGCAGGTAAAGAAGCTTGTGTATGTCTACCTGGTGCGATATGCTGAAGAACAGCAAGATCTGGCCTTGCTGTCCATCTCGACCTTCCAGCGAGGACTCAAGGTTGGAGACTGGGATGCTGGCGGAAGCAGGGCTGAGCCCAGTTTGTGGGATTTACTATTGTTGTTTTTAGAACAGGCATGGGCAAACTTGGGCCCTCCAGGTGTTTTGGAATTCAACTCCCACCATTCCTAACAGCCTCAGGCCCCCTCCTTTTGCCCCTCACACCAGACCTTCTTACACATGGCCTTCTCATATTCTAAGGCCTACTTCACACAGAAGTTTCTCTCACAAACTAAGGCCTATCTTACACTATGAGGCCTACTTCACACAGAGGCTTCTCTCACAGACTAAGGCCTACCTCACACTGTGGGGCCTACCTGACACAGAGGCTTCTCTTACTGACTAAGGCCTACCGCAGACTGTGGGACCTACTTCACACAGAGGCTTCTCTTTCTGACTAAGGCCTACCGCAGACTGTGGGACCTACTTCACACAGAGGCTTCTCTCACAAACTAAGGCCTACCTTACACTGTGTGGCCTACTTCACACAGAGGCTTCTCTCACTGACTAAGGCCTACCTTACACTGTGAGGCCTACTTCACACAGAGGCTTCTCTCACACACTAAGGTATACCTTACACTGAGGCCTACTTCACACAGAGGCTTCTCTCACAGACTTATGCCTACCTCACACTGTGAGGCCTATCTGACACAAAGGCTTCTCTTAGACATTCGGGAAGTGTCTGACATGTGATCCAATACAACAGCCAGCAGAGTGATCTTGTTTGCTGTGGACTCATCTTGTTGTGTTTCAAATAATAATAATAATAATAATAATAATAATAATAGTCCGACATGTGATCCAATACAACAGCCAGCAGAGTGATCTTGTCTGCTGTGGACTCATCTTGTTCTGTTTCCAATAATAATAATAATAATAATAATAATAATAATAACAACAACAACAATAACAACAACCACCACCATCATCTGTCAGCTGCAGAAGGCCACCTTACTAGGATCTGCACGCATTATTTACTGATGCATCACAGAGTCCTAGACACTTGGGAAGTGTTCGACGTGTGTTCCAATACAACAGCCAGCAGAGTGATCTTGTTTTATGTGTACTAATCTTATGTTTCTAATAATAATAATAACAACAACAACAACATACTATTGGGAAGTGTACGATGTGTAATCCAATACAACAGCCAGCAGAGTGACCTTGTTTTATGTGTACTAATCGTATGTTTCTAATAATAATAATAATAATAATAATAATAGTAACGATAACAATAACAACAACAACAATATACTCTTGGGAAGTGTACGGTGTGTAATCCAATACAACAGCCAGCAGAGTGATCTTGTTTTATGTGTACTAATCTTATGTTTCTAATAATAATAATAATAATAATAACGATAACAACAACAACAATATACCCTTGGGAAGTGTACGATGTGTGATCCAATACAACAGCCAGCAGAGTGACCTTGTTTTCTGTGTACTAATCATATTATGTTTCAGGGTAGTAGTAATAATAATAATAATAATAATAATAATAATTTGTATTTATAGATCTCTTTTCTTCTTCAAGGGACCCAAAGCAGCTTACAACATATTAAAATCATGTAAACAACAATCCAAATACATTGATAATAAGTATAAAACGTTAGTAAACATCAATAATATACATTCACATTCTTGTGCCATCATGTCAGATTATATTGCACTTTGTCCCCGTCCATAAACATTATGGTGCTTCTTATCACTCCAACTTAGTTTCCTAACAAGGGTTAGTACACTGCAAATTCATACAAGGCAAGATCCAACCTGATTCTAATATAGGAAGTTGTCTAATCCTGGCTACCTCACAGAGAAACTTGGCAACGGTCAAGGTCAAATGACGGAAATTGTCACCTAATGAAAACTTTACTTGGAATTGGGCAGATCTATTGGATAGGTTGCTCCATAGTGGGTTAATAATATGCAGCCGAGCCTGCTTGTAAAAACTGCCGGACAATAAGATGGGTTATACATTCAACATCCTGGTTATTACGTGGGCAAAGTTTTGTGTTGTATGGGACTCCCACAAATCTGCCTTGAAGCTCCGTTTTGAGCTGGCCCAGGTTTTAAGATGCAGGAGAATTTATTTGCTTCATCTTCCATTTTTTGGACATCTACCGTATATACTCGGGTATAAGCCGACTAGAATATAAGTTGAGGCTCCTAATTTTACCACAAAAAAACCTGGGAAAATGTATTGACTTGAGTAGACTCCAAGGGTGGGAAATGCAGCAGATATTGGTAAATTTCAAAATAAAAATAGCAATAAAATTGTATTAATTGAGGCATCAGTAGGTTAAATGTTTTTTGAATATTTACATAAAACTGTAATTTAAGATAAGACTGTCCAACTCTGATTAAACCAGTATTCTAACCACCTTCGATGTAAACGTGTTTACGTATCCTTCCAATAATAATAAAGAGAGTAAAATTATAAATGTAATAAACATAATAATAATAATAATAATAATAATAATAATAATAATAGGGTAAAATAATTGAAATGTAATAATAACAGTAATAATAGAGTAAAATAATGAATGTAATAAACATAATAAGAATAGAGTAAAATAATCAGGATGTAATAATAACAGTAATAATAGAGTAAAATAATAAACATAATAATAAATAGAGTAAAATAATAAATGCAATAATAACAATAATAGAGTAAAATAATAAATGTAGTAAACATAATAAGAATAGAGTAAACTAATCAGCATGTAATAATAACAGTAATAATAGAGTAAAATAATAAATGTAATAAACATAATAATAATAGGGTAAAATAATTGAAATGTAATAATAACAGCAATAATAGAGTAAAATAATAAATGTAATAAACATAATAATAATAATAGAGTAAAATAATCAGAATGTACTAATAACAGTAATAATAGAGTAAAATAATAAATGTAATAATAAATAGAATAAAATAATAAATGCAATAATAACAATAATAGAGTTAAGTAATAAATGTAATAATAATAAATAGAGTAAAATAATAAATGTAATAAAATATAATAAGATAGTAAAATAATGTAAATGTAATAATAGTAATATAGTCAAAAAATTAATGTCATAAAAAATAATAATAGAGTAAAATGATAAATAACTTTGACTTGAGTATAAGCCAAGAGGGGCTTTTTCAGCCTTATATATATGTATATGTATGTGTTCGGCTTATACTCGAATATATATTCTCTTTGATGGGAGTGGGAGAGAAGAGGGCATTTTGATGGCCCAGAAAATTGTGCAAGACTCTGAATGTCCCCTTTGTTGTAGGATCCCAACCAGCTGATCCGAGCCAGCGCCCTCCGGGTCCTTTCCAGCATCCGAGTGCCCATCATTGTGCCCATCATGATGCTAGCCATCAAGGAGGCCGCGTCGGACATGTCTCCTTATGTGCGCAAAACAGCAGCTCACGCCATCCCCAAGCTGTATAGGTAAAGCAGGAGCAAACGCGTGTCCTTTTTGTTTTTTAGTAACAACTTAAACAACCAAAGACACTAAAGACAGGATGGCACTCTTGTCAATGGTAGAGACTTTGAATGCATTTACTAAGCCATAGCCTGTCTTTGAGAGATAGTGGCTCTCCAGCAGCTTCCATCCAACTGGTTGCCACTGATATAGGACACAGAGATKAGTTGGTCTCGGCACAAGGCTAGAGCAGCCTCTGAGTATTGAAGAAGCCCATAGTYACTATGACTGTGCTGCTCTGAGACTTAGTGGCAGCTGCTGTTTCTGTTGTTGTTGTTGAACAGTTTTTGATACTGTCTTYYAAATAAAAATGATTTTTTTTTTCAAAATTGCWTTTTTTAGTAAAATGCCGATTRCAACAGASCTGCMTGCCAAGTYATATTTAGTYTATTTATTTGACATAGAGGACACCTTGGCAGCYATGCAAAAAAYCTTWTTGWKTCTCCYACAAGAATGGAARCGATTCATGAYATGYCCCATTCTACCACAACYCAATCAAAGTTATAATAATGASAATYCAATTATAATAATYARRYTRGTTGARTTTTGTGCCWCTTTCTTGTAATKATTGTTGTTGATTTTTGTSCRTCTTTCCAGCCTTGATTCAGACCAGAAGGACCAGTTAATRGAAGTAATCGAGAAGTTGCTGGCAGATAAGACAACCGTGAGTATARTGTATATACTCGAGTATAAGCCTTCTTTGAGGCTGAAAAAGCCCCCCTTGGCTTATACTCAAGTCAYAGTTCTTTATTATTTTARTCTGTTATATTTTACTGACACAAGAGCACAGTATGTCATAGCAAACTAGATCTATARGRTTGGTTTCGTATCACAAAATCACAAGTCGAACACTTCCCAAGCATCTAGGACTGTGTGATGTYTTTTTGAATYATGRGCACAGATCCAAGTCAGGTGGCCTTTTGCAGTTGACGGATCGTGATTTTGTCAATGTTTATTGTTTCCAAATTTCTCTGTTATTACTATTATTTATCACATTTACATTACTTTACTCAGTTATTATTATTTTTATTACATTTATTATTTTACTCTATTTATTATTATTACATTTATGTTATTTTACTCTATTTATTATTATTATTACATTGCCATTATTTTACTCTACAATTATTACAATTATTACATTTATGATTTTACTCTATTATTATTTTATAACATTTATTATTTTACTCTATTATTATTATTATTACATTTACATTATTTTACTCTAAAATTATTACAATTATTACATTTATTCTTTTACTCTGTTTATTATTATTACATTTACATTATTTTACTCAAATATTATTATTATCTTTATTACATTATTATTTTACTCTAGTATTATTATTACATTTCCATTATTTTACTCTACAATTATTATTTTATTACATTTATTATTTTACTCAATTTATTATTATTACATTTACGTTATTTTACTCAATTATTATTATCTTTATTACATTATTATTTTACTCTAGTATTATTATTACATTTCCATTATTTACAATTATTACATTTATTATATTACTCTATTTTTATTTTATTACATTTATTATTTGTCAATATGAAGAGTCACACATTTCCCACGCCTGCCTTATTATCTTATTTTTCCCCCCGTTTCATTTCTTGTCATTTCCCATAGCTGGTGGCTGGCAGTGTCGTGATGGCCTTTGAGGAAGTCTGCCCAGAACGCATTGACCTCATCCACAAGAACTACCGCAAGCTGTGCAACCTGTTGATTGACGTGGAGGAGTGGGGTCAGGTGGTGATCATCAACATGCTGACACGCTATGCCCGCACCCAGTTCCTCAGCCCCAACCAGAATGTGAGTGAAGAGATGGGCAGGCTTTGCGGAAGAGGGTTGGCCACCTTGAGCCCAGGCATGGGCCAACTCCAGCCCTCTGGGTGTTTTGGACTCCAACTCCCACCATTCCTAATGTGCACATTGTGTGCTTCCTATGCCCCTCTTGTGCCTGTCAGGAGTCTCTCCTAGAAGAGAGTGCGGAGAAAGCTTTTTATGGGTCTGAAGAGGAAGACTCCAAGGACGACAAAGCAGAGGCAGCGTCCGTGGTGAAGCGCAAGCCTTACGTCATGGATCCTGACCACCGCCTCCTCTTGCGCAACACCAAACCCTTGCTGCAGAGCCGCAACGCTGCCGTGAGTCTCCATTCCAGAATTTATTTATGTACTAGCCATCCCCTGCCACGCGTTGCTGTGGCCCAGTCTGGTGATCTCGAATATAAAATAACGAGAAAGTGTTGGTTTCTAATATAAGTAATTTCTTTATGCTTGTGGGTAAACAGTATTTCTTGTTGTTTCTTTGTCAGTATTAATGTAGAGATTGTTTTGTCTACCCTGGAACATGCAACACATCATGGTCCTTCTTTAGGGGTCCCTTTCAAATCTATGATATTATATCTGTTGTATACATATATGTGTGTGTGTGAATCTTATCTACCTATATCTATGGCTGGATGGCTTTTGTCAGGAGGGCTTTGATTATATTTCCTTGCCCTGGTGAAGAAGGGAGTTGGATTGGATGACCTTATGGCATCACTTTTCATCCTGGGGGTCGGGACCTCCTGGGGGTCATGACGGGGTGTCAGAAGGGTCGCCAAAGTCCACCAGAAAACACAATATTTTCTGTTAGTCAGGGGAGTTCTGTGTGGGAGGTTTGGCCCAATTCTATCATTGTTGGGGTTCAGAATGCTCTTTGATTGTAGGTGAACTGTAAATCCCAGTAACTACAACTCACAAATGGATGTAGGTGTACTACAACTCCCAAACTCAACATCAACGCCCACCAAATCCTATAACTCCCAAATGTCAAGGTCTATTTTCCCCAAACTCCATCTGTGTTCACATTTGGGCATATGGAGTATTTGTGCCAAGTTTGATCCAGATCCATCATTGTTTGAATCCACAGTGCTTTCTGGATGTAGGTGAACTACAACTCCCAAATTCAAGGTCAATGCCCACCAAACCCTTCCAGAATTTTCTGTCGGTTGTGGGAGTCCTGTGTACCAAGTTTGGTTCAATTCCATCGTTGGTGGAGTTCAGAATGCTCTTTGATTGTTGGTGAACTATAAATCTCAGCAACTACAACTCCCAAATGACAAAATCCATGTTTTTGAGTGATAGTCACACCTTGGAGTATTAGGCATATTGTGTCCAAATTTGATGGCAATTCGTCCAGTGGTTTTTGAGTTATGTTAATCCCACAAACGAACATTACATTTTTATTTATATAGATTTTCCGCCCATCTCACCTCAAAGGAGACTCAGGGCAGGTCACAGAGCATATGCACAGCAAATATGCAATGCAGACAGGGCAGACAACAGATAGAGGTATTATGTCGGCATTTTTCCCAACTTCGGCATCCTGGAGGCTGTACTCAATTCCGGTCACAGGGGGGTGCTGTTGCTCCATCCTCTATGACGAAGAGCCCTTGATCACAGACTTCCTCCTTTCTTTGATTGCTGCCATTTTTGGGTACTTCCTTTTTATGTTGCCGTAAAATACCTCCCCACTTAAACGGTGCCTGATTTCTCTACTCACAGCACCACTGTTTTTGAACTGCTTAGGTCAATGGTTCTCAGCCTTCCTAATGCTGCTACCCCTTAATACAGGTCCTCATGTTCATTCGCTGGACCAAACTGGGCACAAATACCCGATTATGCCCAAATTTGAATACTGGTGGGATTGGGGGGGGGGGGGATTGATTTTGTCATTTGGGAATTATAGTTGCTGGAATTTATAGTTAACCTACAATCAAAGAGCATTATGAACGCCACCGATGATGGAATTGAACCAAAACATGACCAACAGAAAATACTGGAAGGGTTTGGTGGGCATTGACCTTGAGTTTTAGAGTTGTCGTTCACCTACATCCAGAGAGCACTGTGGACTCAAACAATGATGGATCCGGACCAAACTTGGCCCAAATACTCAATATGACCAAATGTGAACACTGGTGGAATTTGGGGAAAATACTTGACATTTGGGAGTTGCAGTTGCTGGGATTTATAGTTCACCTACAATCAAAGAGCATTCTTGACCCACCAACGATAGAATTGGGCCAAACTTCCCATACAGAACCCCCATGACCAACAGAAAGTACTGCTTACGTAAACAGTGAGCTGGGCTGACAGTCAGGAGCTCACACCAACTTCGAACTGGCAACCTTTTGGTTGGTAGATTTTATCATTAAAGCCCTTCCATTTTCTCCTTCTTTATGCAGGTTGTGATGTCGGTTGCCCAACTTTATTTCCACCTGGCCCCAAAAGCCGAAGTCGGAGTCATTGCTAAGGCTTTAGTGCGTCTCCTCAGGAGCCACAGGTCTGCACATCTCTCTCACACAATACAAAAATATTCTGATATTAATTGCTAACAAAGCAACAAAGTTTAGTCAGTTCTGTTCTCATATAGGATATTTATTCATTCATTTATTTATTTATTTTACGACATTTATATGCCGCCCTTCTCACTATAAGCATTTGCACCCAACGTCTTACAAGAAACGTGACAAGTTAACTGTCAGCCCTCCACTTTTGTGGGTTTGATATTTGTGCATTTGATTAAAATGTTCCAAAAATGTATAGGTCCTCCAATGCAACAGTTCCGGTCCAGCTTACCTGTCTGAACACATCTCTCCCTATGAACTGGGATGGACATTAAGATCGTCTGGGGTGGCCTTCTTTTAGTCCCACCTCCTTCACAGGCACGGTTGGTGGGGACAAGAGACAGGGCCTTCTCAGTGGTGGCCCCTCAACTGGGGAACTCCCTTCCCAGTGATATTATTTATTTATTTATGACATTTATATGCCGCCCTTTTCACCCCAAATGGGACTCGGGGGGGCGTACAAGATATATATACATACAATATATTAAATTATTAGCATAATGCAATAGCAGTATTATATATTACTATATTGTACTACACCATTATATTGTAATATTATTAGTAATATTACAAGTTATATAAAATACATTATTATTATTATTATTATTATTATTATTATTATTATTATATATCACCCTTCTCATCCCGAAAGGGACTCAGAGCGGCATACAAGATATATATACATACAATATATTAAATTATTAGCATAGTACAATATCAGTATTACATATTACTATATGTAATTACATATTACTATATGCACAATATCTTACATGTAATATAAAATATATAATTATTATATTGTATTATTATTAGTAGTATTATATTGTATTACATTATAATATTATAAATTATAAATATTATAGATAGGTTGTGCACTTTCCTATGTTCTACTGTGTGTGTATTTCAGTGCACGCTTTTAGGAAAAAATGTGCACATTAAAAAAAGAATATTGAAGTGTGTGATGTACTCAGCACCTTTCGTTATTAAATTGTAAATACCCCATACGAAACCAAACTTCCTTTTGGCAGTACTTTTGAGGTCTATCAAAACTTTTTTTGGAGGCAGAGGCCATTGCTAGATGTGTTGACAACGAATTCATGGGCCTTCCTTGCTCCTTTGACAGTTCATTGGTTTTTTTTCTTATTTCAGTGAGGTGCAGTATGTGGTCCTTCAGAATGTGGCAACCATGTCCATTAAGCGCAGGGTGAGTGCCCCCCCCCCCCCCCCGTGTCCTTTTTGGGAAGGTTTCACACAAATGTGTGGTTTTGGAGATGCAAATCCTAGGTCTCTGCCTATACCTTAAAAGTATAGTCTGCTCCTTCACATTTGTGGTTTTGACTGTTGTGGGTTGGATTATTCATAGGTTTGATTTAAAATATTCTCTAGGTCAGCGGTTTTCAACCTGTGGTTCCCAAATGTTTTGGCCTTCGACTCCCAGAAACCCTTACAGCTGGTAAACTGGATGAGATTTCTGGGAGTTGTAGGCCAAAACACCTGGGGACCCACAGGTTGAGAACCATTGGTCTAGGTCAAGGGTCCTCAAACCTTTTAAACAGAGGACCAGGTCACAGTCCCTCAAACTGTTGGAGAGTCAGATTATAATTTGACTTGTTACTATAGCACAATATCTTAATGGTTGCTTAAAAAGAATTTCTTGGCTTGGTTACAAACAGAGCTAATCTCACAGATATAGCTACTGATTACAAACAAAATCCCTCACTCTACTTCAGTGAAATAACAATGAGTTCTTGACTAACCTATCCCAGGCTGTCTTCTGAGTAATCAGCTAACTTTCCCCAGAGTCCTTGTAACTAACTTACTCAAACTAGAGAGCAAACCCCGATATGAGGATTTAAAAAATTGAACTGCAAAGACTCTGGCACAAACCAGTCAAGGGGGTCCCAGTGGAGATTGGCACACTAGGTGCAGTGCCTAAAGACCTTGGCCTGCACTTAAACACAATCAGTGCTGACAAAATTACCATCTGCCAGCTGCAGAGGCCACCTTACTGGGATCTGCACACATTATTCGCCAATGCATCACACAGTCCTACACACTTGAGAAGTGTCTGACGTGTGATCCAGTACAACAGCCAGCAGAGTGTCTGCTGTGGACTCATCTTGTTGTGTTTCAAATAATAATAATAATAATAATAATAATATCAAGCTGATCCCCCCCCCCCCTCTTTCTCTCTGCAGGGCATGTTTGAACCGTACCTGAAAAGCTTCTACATCAGATCAACAGATCCCACTCAGATCAAGATCCTCAAGGTGTGTCGGATATTCAAACATCCCTAGTGCATAATTTCCAAGCCGTGTTGAGGAGGTATTGTCGAAGGCTTCCATGGCCGGAATCACTGGGTTGTTGTAGGTTTTTCGGGCTATATGGCCATGTTCCTGAAGCATTCTCTCCTGACGTTTTGCTCACATCTATGGCAGGCATCCACAGAGGTTGTGAGGTCAGTTGGAAACTAGGCAAGTGAGGTTTATATATCTATATAATATCCAGGGTGGGAGAAAGAACTCTTGTCTGCTGGGGGAAGGTGTGAAAAGGTGGCCAATTGAAACATTCACCCTTGACTCCAACAGACAAGAGTTCTTTCTCCCACCCTGGACATTACACATATATCTATTTATTTATTATTTTGTATCAAAAGCATTGCATAAATTAGTATACAAGTGATAAAAAATAGAAGGAGTGCAGGTGGCTAAATATCTTTTGACCAAAAATGGGCAACAGCAATGGCATTGTCTGTAGCCTCCAACAATTCTTCCTCTGTACATGAGGAATATATATATGTGTGTGTGTGTGTTGTTGTTGTTATTACCATCAATATTATTAATGTTAATAATAATGTAGAGGGCTGACTGAATGTATATATCCACAGATATATAAACCCCCCTTCCCTAGTTTCCAACAGACCTCACAACTTCTGAGGATGCTTGCCATAGATGCAGGCGAAATGTCAGGAGAGAAAGCTTCTAGAACATGGCCATATAGCCTGAAAAACCTACAACAACCCATGTTGAGGATACTGGGAGTGCTCGTTATTTTATTTTGTGGCTTTGTTCCCAATGGGAGTGAGACTTTGCTTTCATTTCATTCCTAGCAGCATCTTCCAGCCTTACCATTAGGCAAAGTAAAACAGTCCAGTTATAATCATCATCATCATCATCATCATCTTTATTTATACCCTGCCACCATCTCCCCAATGGGGACTCAGGGCGGCTTACATGAGGCCAAGCCCACCAACGCAAAACAATAAATGAAATCAAAACATAAACAACAACATAATGAATTACATAATTCATCAACCATATAAAATTACAATATAATCATTCATAAAACAAAGCAATGAGCGGGCCAAATGTCCAGAATAAAACACTAAGGATAAAAACGGGGTGAGACAGCAGTTGAGCGAATTATTTATGAGGGAGGAACTCTTCTGAGATGGGGTCGACAAGGACCTTCATACAGAGGGGGAGGAGGTGTGCACTAAAAACAGATATTGAAGGTGAATGGGCATATAAGTTAATGGTTTAGCTTCTTTATGCAAGAAAGAGAGCTTTACCCTTTGCTTTAGGCAGGTATGAAGCTAGATGTTCTGTTGCCTATAAACAGTAATGTCTCCCTCACTGCCTTCCTTCCAGCTGGAAGTTCTGACCAACCTTGCAAATGAAACCAACATTTCTACCATCCTGCGTGAGTTCCAGGTAATGGCACAGCCCAATGGGGAGAACGCACACCTTGGTGCAGCAATGGGAAGGAGTCCATGATGGGAACGTGTTTTTTGGCTGGGGAGGATTATTAACACCTGTAGTACAGAGACATGCTACTTCTGGCTTCTTTTCCTACAGACCTACATCCGGAGCATGGATAAAGACTTTGTGGCGGCCACCATCCAGGCCATTGGTCGTTGTGCCACCAATATTGGGAAGGTGCGCGACACGTGTCTCAACGGCCTCGTCCAGCTGCTGTCCAACAGAGATGGTAAGACTGGACCTGGTGGGCATCAATGCCACAAGCTAGGCAAAGTTGATAATAATAATAATAATAATAATAATAATAATAATAATAAGGTTAGAAGGCAGGATCATCAAGTTTGCAGACGACACCAAATTGGGAGGGATAGCCAATACTCCAGAGGACAGGAGCAGGATTCAAACGATCTTGACAGATTAGAGAGATGGGCCAAAACTAACAAAATGAAGTTCAACAGTGACAAATGCAAGATACTCCACTTTGGCAGGAAAAACAAAATGCAAAGATATAGAATGGGGGATGCCTGGCTTGAGAGCAGTACGTGTGAAAAAGATCTTGGAGTCCTCGTGGACAACAAGTTAAACATGAGCCAACAATGTGATGTGGCGGCAAAAAAAGCCAATGGGATTTTGGCCTGCATCAATAGGAGCTTAGTGCCTAGATCTAGGGAAGTAATGCTACCCCTCTGTTCTGCTTTGGTTAGACCACACCTGGAATATTGTGTCCAATTCTGGGCACCACAATTCAAGAGAGATATTGACAAGCTGGAATGTGTCCAGAGGAGGGCGACTAAAATGATCAAGGGTCTGGAGAACAAGCCTATGAGGAGCGGCTTAAGGAGCTGGGCATGTTTAGCCTGAAGAAGAGAAGGCTGAGAGGAGATATGATAGCCATGTATAAATATGTGAGAGGAAGCCACAGGGAGGAGGGAGCAAGTTGTTTTCTGCTTCCTTGGAGACTAGGACGCGGAACAATGGCTTCAAACTACAAGAGAGGAGATTCCATCTGAACATGAGGAAGAACTTCCTGACCGTGAGAGCGTTCAGCAGTGGAACTCTCTGCCCTGGAGTGTGGTGGAGGCTCCTTCTTTGGAAGCTTTTAAACAGAGGCTGGATGGCCATCTGTCAGGGGTGATTTGAATGCAATATTCCTGCTTCTTGGCAGGGGGTTGGACTGGATGGCCCATGAGGTCTCTTCCAACTCTTTGATTCTATGATTCTATGAATAATAATAATATTCGCCGATACATCACACAGTCCTAGACACTTGGGAAGTGTCCGACGTATGATCCAATTCAATAGGCAGCAGAGTGAATCTGCTGTGGACTCATCTTGTTGTGTTTCAAATAATAATAATAATATTTATTTGTACCCTGCCACCATCTCTCCGAAGGGACTTCAGGGCGGCTGACATGAGGCCAAGCCCAAAATTACAGTACAGCAAAATAAAATACAAAGAAGCAAAAATAACATCAAAATAAAATACATGAAATAACAAAATAAAATAAACAGTTACAAAATAACATGATAGAGAAATAGAACACAGTGGGCGGGCCAAATGCACTAGGATAAAACTGATAAAATCCTGGATGAAATAAGTGGCGGGAGAATGTGTTTCTGAGGGAGGAGCTCAAAAGGAACAAACAATGGGGTTAGACCTTCATTAAGGGCGGGGGGAAAGTGCATCATGAGGACGGAACTGTAGGTGGGACAGACAAAATATGGAATATATGTTCACTCACCAAAGGCACATCTGAAGAGCCAATTTTTTAGGTCTTTCTTAAAAGCTGCCACGGTAGGGGCTTGCCTGATCTCACTAGGTAGCAAATTCCAAAGCTGAGGGGCCACAGCGGAGAAGGCTCTCTCCCTCGTCAATCAACACAGTGGCCTGCGTTTTGATATTCTTCTTGGAGGTACGGCTAGGAGAGGCAGTTTGGAATAGGTAAAAATATAGAGAGATGCAGGAGAAAGCGTAGGACGTCATTATGACAACTCTCCTAGCCATACCTCCAAGAAGAATATCAAAACGTAGGCCACTGTGTTGATTGATGGCAACAACGCCAGTATTTTGTAAAGCTGATGATTCTGAATTGCTCATTCAAGATTAAGCAGACCACAAACACTTCACATTGCACATTGTTGTTGGGAAAATAATTCTCTTCCAACCCCAAGCTGCTATGAGGTTTTCAGCTAAACTCAGAGAAATTATTATTATTGTTGACACAAAAGCACAGTCTGTCACAGCAAACGAGATCTATATGCTGGATTTCGTATCACAAAATCACAAGTCGAACACTTCCCAAGCGTCTAGGACTGTGTGACGTTTTTTCAAATGATGCGCGCAGATCCAAATCAGGTGGCCTTTTGCAGTTGACAGATCGTGATTTTGTCGATGTTGATTGTTTCCAAATGCCAGCTGAGATCTTTTGGCATGGCACTCAGTGCGCCAATCACCATTGGGACCACCTGTGCTGGTTTATGGCAGAGCCTTTGCAGTTCGATTTTGATGTCTTGATAGCGGCTGAATTTTTCCTGTTTTTTTCCTCAATGCGGCTGTCACCTGGAATGGCGACATCAATAATCCAGACTTTTTTCTTTTCCACAATCGTGATGTCTGGTGTATTGTGTTCCAAAACTTTGTCAGTCTGGATTCGAAAGTCCCACAGTATTTTTGCGTGTTCATTTTCCACTACCTTTGCAGGTTTATGATCCCACCAATTCTTTACTGCTGGCAGGTGGTCCTTGTGACCTTATTATTATTATTATTATTATTATTATTATTATTATTATTATTATATTTATCCCCTTATTTATCTCTCCCGAAGGAGACTCAAAGCAGAACAAGGAAGCCTGAGGTTCCTTCTACACTGTCCCTATATCCCAGGATCTGATCCCAGGTTATCTGCTTTGAACTGGACTATATGAGTTTCTACTGCCATATAATCTGGGATAAGCAGATAATCTAGATTCAGATCCTGGGATATAAGGGCAGCGTAGAAGGAGCCTGAGAATGATGGTGGGAAAAGTTACCAATTTTCTAATCCAAAGATGTTGGTGTGACAACCTTGCAAGCCTTGGTTCCATTAGGATCCCCACAGACAAGGCCTCAAAGTATTGGGTATTATTGCATCTATCCTTCTCTCACTCTTCTTTAGAGCTTGTTGTGGCTGAGTCTGTAGTCGTCATTAAGAAGCTCCTGCAGATGCAACCGTCCCAACATAGCGAGATCATCAAACATATGGCAAAGCTGACTGACAACATCCAGGTGGGAGCATGACTTAGGAAGGAGTTGGCTCTCTGTCTGTCAATAGGACCCATAGGGAAGGAAAAGTCTGGGAGCCTCGGAGATGCAGAGAGTCCTTGTGTTGCAGGTACCCATGGCTCGGGCGAGCATCTTATGGCTGATCGGCGAATATTGCGAGCATGTGCCCAAGATTGCCCCAGACGTGCTGCGCAAGATGGCCAAGTCCTTCACGAGCGAAGAGGACATTGTCAAGCTGCAAGTCATCAACTTGGCTGCCAAGCTTTACCTGACAAACTCCAAGCAGGTGAGGTCCCCTTGTGTTCCTTGCCATTTCTGGGGTGCTGTGCTGTCACGCACTGGGCCTGTGAAAGAGTCTGTAGACAGGACGTGTTTTCTGAATGCCCAACTATATTGTTAGCATAGTACAATATCAGTATTAAATATTACTACATTGTACTATAACATTATATTGTAATATTATTAGTAATATTATATGTAATATAAAATATATAATTATAATATCATATTATTATTATTATTATTAGTAGTAGTAGTATATATACTGCCCTTGTCATCCCAAAGGGAAATCAGAGCGGCTTATCAGATATATATATATACATAAAATACCATGATATTGTAATATTATTAGTAATATTACATGTAATATAAAATATATAATTATAATATCATATTATTATTATTATTATTATTATTATTATTATTATTATTATTACTAATAGTAATAGTAGTAGTAGTATATATGCTGCCCTTCTCATCCCGAAGGGAACTCAGAGCGGCTTACAAGATATATATACACATACAATACATTATATTATTAGCATAGTTCAATATCAGTATTACATATTATTATATTGTACTATACCATGATATTGTAATATTATTAGTAATATTACATGTAATATAAAATATATAATTATAATATCATATTATTATTATTATTATTAGTAGTAGTAGTAGTAGTATATATGCTGCCCTTCTCATCCCGAAGGGAACTCAGAGCGGCTTACAAGATATATATACACATACAATACATTATATTATTAGCATAGTTCAATATCAGTATTATATATTATTATATTGTACTATACCATGATATTGTAATATTATTAGTAATATTACATGTAATATAAATATATAATTATAATATCATATTATTAATATTAGTTTTATATTGTGTTACATTATAATAGTCCAACTCTCTGCCATGCAAGAACACCTAATCCGAGTACTCCCAATAGATGGCCATCCAGCTTCTGTTTAAGAACCCACTCTCCAGTCCTTCCCTAGAAGTGGAGCTATTTATTTTTTCCTTTGGCAATAATTTGGATTCTTGTTGTGCCCAACTCTTAACCAACTCCTGCTTTGCACGGGTGTCATCCGCCACAGAGCAAGCTGCTGACCCAGTATGTGCTGAACCTCGCCAAGTACGACCAGAACTATGACATCCGGGACCGTGCCCGCTTCATCCGCCAGCTCATTGTGCCCACGGAGAAGAGCGGCGCCCTCAGCAAGTACGCCAAGAAGCTCTTCCTGGCCCAGAAGCCAGCCCCCATCTTGGAGTCGTCTTTCAAAGGTAGGAAGCGCGCCGTCTCAAAGGAGCTTCGGAAGGCTCTTGGGTGTTGTGTCCATGCTGACCTTGGATTGTTCCTTTCAGACCGTGAGCACTTCCAACTGGGCTCCCTCTCACACCTCCTCAATGCCAAGGCTGTGGGCTACCAGGAGCTCCCCGACTGGCCCAGCGAAGCCCCAGACCCATCTGTGCGCAATGTAGAGGTATTGCTTCGTCCTCTGTTGTTCAAATGCAGCGTTTTGTGTCCTGAGTGGAGTGTGGAGAGTTGACATTTTAAAATTCTTGAAGGGGATTCATTCAGCAGTTGTCTTGTCCTTTTTCCATTTGTATATGTAAAGGTTTTCCCCTGGGGGGTTGGTGCTCATCTCCATTACTAAGCCAAAGAGCCGGCGTTGTCCGTAGACACCTCCAAAGTCATGTGGGCGGCATGACTGCATAGAGCACCGTCACCGTTACCTGCATAGAGCACCGGGACTGTGGCGCAGCTGGCTGGGAGTCATCTGCATTAGATCACTACTGACCGAAAGGTCATGAGTTCGAAGCCAGCCCAAGTTGGAGTGAGCTTTCGACCATTGTGTAGCTTGCTGTCGACCTTTGCAGCCTGAAAGGAGATTCCTTGACCAAAAGGTCAAGGGTTCGAATCCAACCTGGGTCGGAGTGAGCTTCTGACCATTGTGTAGCTTGCTGTCGACCTTTGCAGCCCGAAAGGAGATTCCTTGACCGAAAGGTCATGAGTTCGAAGCCAGCCCGGGTCGAAGTGAGCTTCCGACCATTGTGTAGCTTGCTGTCGACCTTTGTAGCCCGAAAGGAGATTCCTTGGCTGAAAGGTCATGAGTTCGAAGCCAGCCCGGGTCGGAGTGACCTTCCAACCATTGTGTAGCTTGCTGTCGACCTTTGCAGCCCGAAAGAAATTTCCTTAACCGAAAGGTAATGAGTTCGAAGCCAGCCCGGGTCGGAGTGAGTTTCTGACCATTGTGTAGCTTGCTGTTGACCTTTGCAGCCCAAAAGAAGATTCCATTTGAACATTAGGAAGAACTTCCTGACTGTGAGAGCCGTTCAACAGTGGAACTCTCTGGCCCGGAGTGTAGTGGAGGCTCCTTCTTTGGAAGCTTTGAAACAGAGGCTGGATGGCCCTCTGTCAGTGGTGCTTTGAATGCAATATTCCTGCTTCTTGGCAGAATGGGGTTGGACTGTATGGCCCATCAGGTCCCTTTCAACTCTATGATTCTGTGATTCTATGAAAGACAGTTGCAGCTATCAAGTAAGAAATTTAGGTATTGCTTATGCGGGGAGGCTAATTTAACTAATTTATGACGCCATACAAATCTCCAGCAAGCATGCAAAGAATGAGGAGGTACTCCATCAGTGTCACAAATTGACGGTGAAGCGACAGCTCCCCTGGTGGACAGAATACCCTCATGGAAGCTGGAAAGTTAAATAGCCTCTGTGTGTCTTTATATATGTTGTGTGTCTATGGCATTGAATGTTTGCCATGTATATGTACATTGTAATCCGCCCTGAGTCCCCTGCGGGGTGAGAAGGATAGAATATAAATACTGTAAATAAATAAATAAATAAATAATTGCCTTCATGCCAAAACAGTACCTATTGATCTACTCACATTTGCATGTTTTCAAACTGCTGGGTTGGTAGAAGCTGGAACTAACAGCGGGAGCTCACCCCACTCCCTGGATAAGCTGTATAACTCACTGACCAGAGGGTCGGTGGTTCAAATACAGGGAGCGAGGTGAGCTCCTGTTGTTAGGCCCAGCTTCTGCCAACCTCGCAGTTTGAAAACATGCAAATGTGAGTAGATCACTAGGTACCGCTTCTGTGGGAAGGTAACAGCACTGTATGCAGTCATTTATAATAAATAAATAAATAAATATATAGCAACCACATGACCTTGGAGGTGTCTACGGACAATTGTATTCAAAGCACCCCTGACAGATAGCCATCCAGCCTCTGTTTAAAAGCTTCCAAAGAAGAAGCCTCCACTAAATAAAATTTAAAAAAATAGCCTTCCTGCATACGCGGTACCTAAATTTCCTACTTGACAGATACAACTGTCTTTCGGGCTGCAAAGGTTGACAGAAAGCTGCACAAATTGGTCGGAAGCTCACTCCGACCTGGGCTGGCTTCGAACTCATGTCCTTTTGGCTTGACAAAGGGGCGGCTCGTCCATTACGCGAAGTAAGCGGTCGCAGAACACTTTTTTTTGCCAGGGGCACAGAGGCGCCTCTGTAAATGCCCCTCGACCGCCACTTGAGGAGCGCCCCCTCAGCTCACAACAGCCCTAGCAGTCCGGGGGGAGCCTCGGCTTTCTTGCCTCGCTGCCGGGCGATCCTCTTCCCAAAGGGGCCGGGCCCTTGAGCCTCGCCTAGCCCCTCTCGTTCCTGCTCCACCCGGCCACTGGGTGCGCGAGCAGAGCCGGCGCTCAATCGTTCTCCGCGTTCGATCCTTCCCCATGACCGGCTCCCTTTCCTGATCCACCCGCCTCCTCTCCTCTCCCCAATCCGCGGGTGGGCCAAGGGGCGAGCCGCCGTGCCTGGCCCGCTTCGGCTCCGGAGGCATGTCTGAAGACCCCAGCATGTGCACCAAAAGTCGCCTCTTCTCCTGACTTTCTCTTCAGCCATTGGGACCAAGAGAGAGAGAGAGAGAGAGAGAGCCCCTCCGGCTGGAGATATCTCCCACCTCCGCTCCCTCCTTTGTTTTTGCGCCTACCTTCAGGAAAGGTGGGCATCTCCACCTCTCTCTCTCTCTCTCTCGGTCCCAATGGCTGAGGAGAAAGTCAGGAGAAGAGGTGACTTTTGGTGCACACGCTGGGGTCTTCAGGCACGCCTCCGGACCCAAAGCGGGCCAGGCAAGGGAGCAAGTGCGGCAAGTGTAGTTACTGGGATGTATAGTTCACCTACAATCAAAGAGCATTCTGAACTCCACCAATGATGGAATTGAACCAAATATGGCACACAGAACTCCCACGATGAACAGAAAATATATATCAGTGATTGGTTGGGGGGGGGGGGCCAAAATACTGTTTGCTTACCGTTGAAAATTACCTAGGGCCACCTCTGCGTGCACTCCACAGCTGACTCCCAGAACATTTGTCCATTTGTTTTAATCAAATGCACAAATGTCAAACCCACAAAAGGGGAGGGTTGACAGTTAACTTGTCACGTTTCTTGTAAGACGTTGGGTGCAAATGCTTGAGAGCGGAGTGTCTTCCAAGCTACTGGCCCTAACCACTGTTCCTTTTCTGATGATACAACCATTGGGCTGTTTTTTGTTTAGTTCAATGAGACTCCCACACACTTTACCTTTGTTTCCTTCCTAGGAAGAGTCCATTATCCCTGTGGAAAGCCATATTGGCCTGCTAGGCGAACCAATTGAGGTTACGTTTGTGGGTGCCGTGTCCCTTTCCCTCTGCTCTCCTCATTGCATTTCCTGTTCAACTCTGTTTACTTCCTGCACTCTATCACCTGTGTGCTGGGTCAAGCTACAGCTTTTCTGTAATTGTTACGTTTGTGGGTGCCGTGTCCCTTTCCCTCTGCTCTCCTCATTGCATTTCCTGTTCAACTCTGTTTACTTCCTGCACTCTATCACCTGTGTGCTGGGTCAAGCTACAGCTTTTCTGTAATTGATTGGTTAGGCATGTTGGTTTTTTTACAAAATTGATTAACTCAAATGCTGGTCTGATTTATTCAGCCAAAAGGGGTTTATTTTGTACACACACGCACACACATAACCAGGGGCGGCTCAACCCATTACGCAAAGTAAGCATTTGCAGTATACTTGATTTTGCCCAGGGGCGCTCTTGAGGGAAAATAGACCTTGACATATGCGAGTTGTAGTTACTGGGATGTATAGTTCACCTACAATCAAAGAGCATTCTGAACTCCACCAATGATGGAATTCAACCAAATATGGCACACAGAACTCCCACGATGAACAGAAAATATATATCAGTGATTGGTTGGGGGGGGGGGGTTTCCAAAATACTGTTTGCTTACCATTGAAAATTACCTAGGGCCGCCTCTGCACATAACCATGCACAAATTGCATGTGGCGAGTGCTGTTAGAGTGACCGTTTCCTTTCTGACTTTCTCTGATTTCTAGGAATATGTCTTCCAAGATGATCGTGTTTGCTACAACACACATCTCTTGTCTAAACACAACGTTGTGCATTTGCTGTGGAATTTGTTCTTACACGTTTACACATATGTCCTGAGTTTGATTCCCTTTCTCTGTGGATATTTCTTTATTCTGTCCATAGTAATACTACTGATTAGGTGTGTTTCCCTCTCTATCTGCCCACGTAGGTTTGAAATGATATTACATTTTTTTGTTTTTTTTATCGTGTCAGGAGCAACCAGACATTTGTATTACATTTTTAACAAACAAACAGACAAAACACAAAGTTTGCAAGCTTGGTAGTTGATTAAATGTCCTTTGACCAGTATCTGGCCACTTGGAGTGCCTCTGGTGTTGCCGCAAGGAGGTCCTCCATTGTGCATGTGGCAGGGCTCAGGTTGCATTGCAGCAGGTGGTCAGTGGTTTGCTCTTCTCCGCACTCGCATGCCGAGGATTCCACTTTGTAACCCCATTTCTTGAGGTTGGCTCTTCATCTCGTGGTGCCAGAGCACAGTCTGTTCAGCGCCTTCTAAGTCGCCCAGTCTTCTGTGTGCCCAGGGGGAGTCTCTCATTTGGTATCAGCCATTGATTGAGGTTCTGGGTTTGAGCCTGCCACTTTTGGACTCTCGCTTGCTGGGGTGTTCCAGCGAGTGTCTCTGTAGATCTTAGAAAACTATTTCTTGATTTAAGTCATTGACGTGCTGGCTGATACCCAAACAAGGGATGAGCTGGAGATGTCTCTGCCTTGGTCCTTTCACTATTGGCTGCTACTTCCCAGCAGATGTCAGGTGGTGCAATACCGGCTAGAGTGTAATTTCTCCAGTGGTGTAGGGCGCAGACACCCCGTGATAATGCGGCATGTCTCATTAAGAGCCACATCCACTGTTTTAGTGTGGTGAGATGTGTTCCACACTGGGCATGCATACTCAGCAGCAGAGTAGTATAGGCAAAGGCAGATGTCTTCATTGTCTGAGTGGCATGGCGAAATTGTAGATGCTGTAAGCGTAGCTTTTGGAGCAGCAGTCAAAAGCTGCCCTGTCCTGGGCGCATTCACATACGAGGGGCATTCATTAAAGATTTCCACTGACCTACTTTATCACAGGACACTGAAACTGCACATGTGTAATGATATATGTGTCTATAGGTTACATGCCAATTTACAACTCAGAACTGATAACGGTCTTGATTTTACAGGTGCTGAAGTGGTGTGAGGTTTGAGAATGGACCCAGTGGAAGACAGAGCAGTCCTCAAGTTCCGTTATTTGAAAGGCCACACACCAAAGGAGACGTTCAATGAGAAGAAAGAGGTTGATGGTGATGATTCCCCATCATATGATGGAGTCAAGAACTGGCATCGTCAGTTCAAATGTGGTCAGACTTCAGTGGAAACAGCTCCAATTCCAGGGCGACCCCACGCTGCTCTTGATGAACACTACATCCAGCAAGTGGAGGTCGCCATTTTGGAAAATTGCTGGATAACCATTCGCCACTTAGCCCAAAATGTCAAGGTGAGTGTGGGATCTGTGGAAAAAATAGCCCAAGACCATCTTCAGATGCATAAGGTCTCCACTTGCTGGGTCGCCCGGCTGCTCACACTTTTCCAGAAGCAGGAACGAGTTGAATGCTCTCAGGCTCTCTTGACGATGCTGTGCCATGGAAACCAGACTTTGTCCATGGACTGATCCCACAGGATGAAATCTGGGTCCATCACTCTGATCCTGAGACTCATGTCCAGCTGATGCAACGGAAGCATCCTGACTCACTGCCTCCAAAGAAGGCACGTGCCCAACTCTCGGCAGGCAAGGTCATGCTCGCAGTCTTTTGGGACCAGCACGGAGTAGTGTTGATAGATTTCCTAGCAAAGGGGACTGGAGCAAAGGATCACCGGAGCATCCTTTGCTTCACTGCTGTGGAAATTGTGGAGGCCATTAAAGCCAAGAGACAATGTGGCCTGCTCACCAAATGTGTCCTTTGCCTTTTGCAAGACAATGCACCAGTTCACAACTCACCTATTGCCCAAATGGAAGAAGCATGCTCCTCTGGCTTTGGAATTTAACCGTATCCCCTTATTCACCTGACCTCCCACCATCGGTCGTCCACCTCTTTCCAACAATGAAGTTATTTTTGAAGGGCAAATTTTTTTCAGATGATGAGACTATGATTTCCGAAGTCACCGTGTGGCTTTCGGAGCAACCTGTCAACTTGTACAAGCGAGCTGTTTACAGTTGCTTCAAAAGATGGGAGAAGGCCTTTAAAGCCCTAAACGGTTCTGGCCCAACTTACTTGTCCGAACGCATCTCCCCTTATGAACCTTCGAGGACCTTAAGATCGTCTGGAGAGGCCCTGCTCTCGGTCCCGCCATCATCACAACCACAGCTGGCAGTGACGAGACACAGAGCCTTCTCAGTGGTGGCCCCTCGGCTATGGAACGCCCTTCCTATGGAGATTAGATTGGCCTCTTCACTTTTAGCATTTCGGAAAAAACTCAAGACGTGTCTATTCGAGCAGGCATTTGCAAATACCGAGTAGCGGACCTAAGAACGGAATCAGCTACAAGATTATTTATTTATATCATGTCAGGAGCAACCAGACTACAAGATGGATTGGACATTGTTTTAATGAGTATTTATTGAATTATGTTTTATTGCAGCTGTTAGGATTTTATTGATGTTTAAGTTTTAATATTGTAACTGTGCTTTTGGTGGCATTGAATTTTGCCTTGTGAACCGCCTTGAGTCGCCAGAAGGCTGAGAGGGGTGGTATACAAATACTGTAAATAAAACAAATAAATAATAAATAAGTGGTTGTCCCTAGAGGTGTCACCCATGGAGAGAAGGACTCAGAACTGGGCCAAGTTTCATTGCTCTCAGTCCACAGCAAGTGGGTTAGGGGAAACCTTTAATGAACACTCCTCGTAACATCCTTTCAAATATTTAAACATGGCTATCCACTCTTAACCTTCTTTTCTCCAAGCTAAACACATCCATCTCCTTAAATACATGCTCATCCGTTCCCCTACCTCCCATGTGGACATGATGTAAACCTGCCACAAATTACTGTAGGTCATTCCAGGCAGATGTCACTGTTTTTCTCCTCTGCAGAAGGGATCGCCACGTCAGAAATCTCTTCAAGTGGGAAGCTTTACTTGTGCCATTCCCTCTCAGTTGCCCTCTGCTTCGTATCTAGAGTGTTTGATGGACTTGCTCCCTCCTTTTTGCAGTTGAATGTGCCACTCCTGCTTTTCTCTTGCCAGGTCCCGGAATGGACCAAGTGCACCAGTCGCGAGAAGAGGAAGGAGAAAGTGGAGAAACCATTCTATTCTGATTCGGAAGGAGAGTCCGGGGCGACTGAATCTGCAGATAGCGGTGAGAGACGACAGTCGGGGTGTAACCTGTCCTCCTGCTTTGTATGGAGAGGCTTCCTGGGTTCAGAAAGTAGTAGTCTATCCTAGATGTAACGAGAGCGTGGACCACTGTGGCCAAGTCTGACTTCCCAGGGTACAGGTGCATATATTACAGATATGCTGATAATAGAACACATCTCCCTTTACGTCCCACCTCGTAGTTTGAGATAATCTGGGGAGGCCCTGCTCTTGACCCCACCGCTATCACAAGTGAGGCTGGTGGGGACAAGGAGCAGGGCCTTCTCAGTGGTGGCCCCTCACCTGTGGAACTCACTCCCGGGGGAAATTAGGGCATCAACATCCCTCCTTTCCTTCAGGAGGAAAGTAAAGACGTGGTTGTGGGACCAGGCCTTTGGGCAATCTGATAACTAGATAAGGACAACCAGACGAATAGGACTGACAGGACTGACAATGTGGAAATGGAATTTGGACTATGAGAGACCGTCAACAAGGAGTAATTGGGTTTGTATTGGTTTTCCTGGTTTTATTGTTGTAATGCAGGGATGGTTGTTTAACTGTTAATTGATGCTATTTGTTTTACTACTGTTATGTGGTGCTGGCATCGAATTATGCCTTTGTAAGCCGCCCTGAGTCCCCTTCGGGGTGAGAAGGGCGGGGTAGGAGCAACTGAAATTTAATTTAAATTTAATGGACAAAATAACTGTATTATTAAGAGAAGAACTATTAGAAGGATGGTAAAGACTTGGCTGTGGGACCAAGCTTTCAGGACAGGGCAATAATCTGGCCACATTGGTCCACACTCTCGTTACATCCCGAATAGATGACTGCAACGCACTCTACGTGGGGTTGCCTTTGAAGACTGTTCGGAAACTTCAATTAGTCCAGCGGGCGGCAGCCAGATTACTCACCGGAGCATCATACAGGGAGCATACCACCCCTCTGTTATGTCAGCTCCACTGGCTGCCGATCCAATTCCGAGCACAATTCAAAGTGCTGGTTTTGACCTACAAAACCCTATACGGTTCCGGCACAGCGTATCTGTCCGAACGCATCTCCTTCTACATCCCGCCTCGGAGTTTAAGATCTTCTGGGGAGGCACTGCTCTCGGCCCCACCTCTGTCACAAGTGAGATTGGTGGGGACGAGGAGCAGGGCCTTCTTGGTGGTGGCCCCCCACCTGTGGAACTCACTCCCCGGGGAAATTAGGTCATCGACATCCCTCCTCTCCTTTAGAAGGAAATTAAAAACATGGATTTGGGACCAGGCCTTCGGGTAATCTGGCGGATAGATAAGGCACAAGCAACGACTAGAATTGATGGATTGGACAATGTGGAATTTGAATTTACGGACTCTGAGCTGATAAACGTTGAGCACTAGATTGTTTTTAGGGATTGTGATGTATAATGGATTGTTTTAATTACTGTTTATATGTTTTATTTTTTACCTTGTTGTTGTGCCAGCATCGAATTGTGCCTTTTTGTAAGCCACCCTGAGTCCCCCCTCGAGGGTTGAGAAGGGTGGGGGTAGAAGTGCGAGAAATAAAAATAAAACAAATAAAGCGGCAATAGGAAAGATGACCAGGCCAATTAGACTTGATGCGGATGACTAGGATGGTTTTAAATAGTGTATTTTTAATATTTTGATTATTTTTTAATGTTTATGTAGTGTATGTGAATCTGTGTCCCGGCATTGAATGTTTGCCGTGTATATGCTGTGCTCTGCCCTGAGTCCCCTTCGGGGTGAGAAGGGTGGAATATAAATGTTTTAAATAAATAAAATAAATAAATTTCCAACTTCAGTCACAGAGAATGGGCCAATATCTAGCATATACTATTCGAGCTGCCACTGTTGTGTAAAACAAATTGTTTCCAAATTTTCTTTCTAATTCTCCATTGGGCATCTTCAAAAGGTAGATTTGAGGTGTCATTTTGAAATTTGCGTTTGACCCTAGATGTTTTGGACATCAACTCCTACAATTCCTAACAGCCAGCCAGGATTCAAGAAATCTGGTAAATCCCGACAAAACCTAAAAACGGACAAAACCTAAAAACGGACAACATCTTTATGTGTGTGTTGTAAATGTGGGCTGTCTTCTCTCTCCTTCCCCCCCCCCTCCCCCCCAGAGCCTGAAACAATGAGTGGGTCGGAAAGTGAGAGCGGCAGTGAGAGCGGCTCAGGATCCGGCAGCGAAGAAGAGGATGAGGAAGATGAGGATGAGGATGAGGAAGAGAGCGAAGATCAGTCGGAGGAGAAGGAAGAGAAGAAAAGGAAGAGAAAGGAGGCTCCAAGGAAGGGATCTCTGGAGAGTGCTGGGAGGTACAGTTGACTCAACTAGGGTTAAGATGAGTGGGACAGGGAATTGTTTATTGTGACATGACCTCAACTAATATACAACCTTTAAAAGTACAATAAGTACTTCCCAATATAAACATTAAAATGTATTGAGGATAACTGCCATAGATGCAGGCGAAATGTCAGGAGAGAATGCTTCTAGAACATGGCCATACAGCCCGAAAAACCTTCAACAACCCATTTAATGTTATATTTTTGGAATAATCCGTTAACGAGTCACAGATAACTTCTGACTCTTGCCATGCAGCCCTTTCTTCTCAAAAGGCTCCCAGAATAATGTTTCCAAAAATATTGGTTAGCAATACATGGAGTGTCAACAGATTTTTATGAAAAAATTCCCAAAGAATCCTGAATATTGCCTATTAGGAATTACGGATTCAGATTTAATACTAGACACAAATGAGGACATTCTGTTTGTGTACTTAACGACAGCGGCCAGGATGGTAAATTCGAAATATTGGAAACAGAAGGAAATACCGGATACAGATCAGTGGATAAATAAATAAAATAAAAGATATAAAAGTCATGGACAAATCAACTTTTTTAATGAAAAAGAACACGGGAAGCCCGATCAGGCAAACTACTGTATATACTCAAGTATAAGCCTAGTTTTTCAGTCCTTTTTTTAGGCTGAAAAAGTCTCCCCCGGCTTATACTCGAGTCAGTGTTATTTATTATTTTACTTTGTTGATGTTGTTGTTATTATTACATTTATTATATTATTGTTGTTATTATTACATTTATTATTTTACTCTTTTTATTGTTATTGTTACATTTATTATTTTACTCTATTAATACTGTTATTATTACATTCCATTATTTTACTCTATCATTATTATTATTATTATTATTATTATTATTATTACATTATGTTACTCTCTTTATTCTTATTGGAAGGATACATAAGCACATTTACGTTGAAGAAGGTTAGAATCAGAGTTGGACAGTCTTATCTTGAATTACAGTTTTATGCAAATATTCAAAAACATTTAACCTCCTGATGCCTAAATTAATATAGTTTTATTGGTATCTATTTTTATTTTGAAATTTACCAGTAGCTGCTGCATTTCCCACCCTCAGCTTGTAGTCAAGTCAATACATTTTCCCAGTTTTCTGTGGTAAAATTAGGTGCCTTGGTTTATATTCGGGTCGGCTTATACTTGAGTATATACGGTAATTGGTCACAGATTGATGAATATGGAAAAAAAGGAAAAAATAAAAGATTTATTAAAGGAATCATTATTAAATGGGCCTTTTAGAAAAATGGTTTCAAATTAGGTTAAAGTCAACATTATGTTATTCAATATTAATATACAACTGTTATGGAACAAACATTTACAACACCACAATGATTTAGATGGAAGCTGCCAGGACATTGTGTTGTCACAAGGAATGCTTTTGCACACTGAATTTTTGGGAGGTAATGTACGTGGGGTTGCCCTTGAAGACTGCTCGGAAGCTTCAAATGGTCCAACGTTCGGCAGCCAGGTTGCTAACAGGAGTGGCACTCAGGGAGCACACCACTCCTCTGTTGCGCCAGCTCCACTGGCTGCCAATCTGCTACCGGGCACAATTCAAGGTGCTGGCTTTAGCCTATAAAGCCCTAAACGGTTCCGGCCCTACTTACCTCTCCGAACGCATCTCCACCTATGAACCGACTAGGACATTAAGATCGTCTGGGGAGGCCCTGCTCTCGGTCCCGCCTGCATCGCAGGTGCGGTTGGCGGGGACGAGGGACAGGGCCTTCTCGGTGGTGGCCCCTCGGCTGTGGAATGCCCTACCTGTGGACATCAGACAGGCCCCTTCACTGCTGGCATTCCAGAGGAAGGTCAAGACTTGGCTTTACGAACAAGCGTTTGGCTAAATAGTGCAATGAAATACAGTAAGATGGTACAACTGAACATAGGAATTGGTATAAGGATTATGATTACGGACTCTGATTCTGATTTGTTTGCTGAGGCTTATGATAATGATTGTTTTGATTTGGTATATTTTGTATAATGTGTTTTTAATTGTCTTTTTGATACTGTTGTGATAGCCTTTACTATGTAAACCGCCTTGAGTCGCCATTTCGGCTGAGAAAGGCGGTATAGAAGTAAAGCAAATAAATAAATAAATAAATTGATGAATTAGTGACATCATAACTCAAAAACCACTGGATGAAATGTCACCAAGTTTAGCCACAAGACACGTCAGTGACATCGGCAGCACAGCAAGGCAGGAACAGATCAATCAAAGCCACTTTAGGCTATAAACTACTTTATTTTACAGCTATATACATTAGAAGTTACTTAACACTCAGCACATCATAAACTTGCTTCTTCGCCGTCCGATCGTAACATTGCGAACACACTAACCATTATCAGTACTTGTCCACACCTCTTTCATTCCAGAGTGGCGTATGATCAATTTGTTCTATACACTTGATTTATGACCTTTCTAGAAATGCTGATTTGTCCATGGTTCAGTTAGCTCTTTCCGCACAGGAATACATTACACTCGGCACATAGTTACTGCATTTTAAACATACATACATGCATAAATACTTTGAAATCTACATTATAAATTGCAAACAGCTTCAACAAGAAATGGTTTGTTTCTTTCTGATCATACCAGTGAGGGAGAGCAAGAAAAAACCAAGAAAAAGCAGCCACTGCAGGAAGGGAAAGGCGGGTCAGAATCCTCGTCTGAGGAAGGAAGCCTCACGGAGAGCAGCTCCTCGGAGTCTGAGTCGGGGTCCGAAGCTGAGGAATCGCCCCCAGAGAAGGAAGCCAAGAAGAAGAAGGCGGTGAGTGGCTGGGAATGGATCTCCGGTGCAATGTCAAACCTTCAGTGGTTGCATTCATAGATACAGAATCCTTGGATAAGGAGAGCTGACTCTATTGGTATTGTCTGTACCAGGCATGGGCAAACTTGGGCCCTCCAGGTGTTTTGGACTTCAACTCCCACAATTCCTAACAGCTGATAGGCTGTTAGGAATTGAGGGAGTTGAAGTCCAAAACACCTGGAGGGCCCAAGTTTGCCCATAATTGTTCACATTGTTTTGGATGTATTAAATTACCATTACTATGGACAATTGTTTTGATTTACTTGTAAACCAAGAGTGAAAACATGTAGCATTTAATTCGTATTATTAACCAGAGAATGTGGGAAAATCCCTGTTTGAAAGCTTGGAGAGGAGATAATAATAATACTGGGCTAGATGAACAAATACTGAGTTGGTATTAGCTGCTTCCTATATTCCTGTGATAGCATTACATACAGGGACTCTTGAAACTATGAGAAACCCTTTGCAAAAGCATGCTGTGCAGACCCTGTCTTGTAGTGCGAAGATGGAAGGAACAAAGAGATCCCCGAGCTTCCTGTCAAAAAAAGAGATTATTTTATTTATTTATTTATTTATTTATTTATTTATTTATTTATTTATATTCCGCCCTTCTCACCCCGCAGGGGACTCAGGGCGGATTACAATGTACATATACATGGCAAACATTCAATGCCATAGACACACAACATATATAGACACACACACAGACTATATAACATTCCAGCTTTTTCATGAGGGTATTCTGGCCAGCAGGGGAGCTGTCGCTTCACCATCCATTTGTGACACTGATGAAGTACTTCCTAATGCTTTGCATGCTTGCTGGAGATTTTTATGGCATCGTAAATTAGTTAAATTAGCCTCCCCGCATACGCGGTTCCTAAATTTCCTACTTGACAGATACAATTGTTTTTAGGGCTGCAAAGGTCGACAGCAAGCTACACAAATTGGTCGAGAGCTCACTCCGACCCAAGCTGGCTTTGAACTCATGACCTTTCGGTCAGTGTTGATCTTAATGCAACTGACTCCCAGCCAGCTGCGCCACAGTCCCGGTGATTATATAAGAATATAGTCCTTAACTGAAAAAAAGGTTGTATTCGTGCAGAAGATGCTTGTTTTCCCCTGTAATATTTATATTTTGTGTTGTTTTTCAGCATCCCAGCAGCAAGCCGGTTACAAAAGCACCCAAAAAAGGGTCAAAGGAGATCTCCCTGCTGGATCTGGATGATTGTAAGTGTCCTGACCCTGATTCCTCTTCTGATTGCATTATTGCTGTTTATGTGGTTTTCTTTGTACTGCTCTTTAAGCTTACTAAGAGAGTGACTGCCTGACTAGACCAGAGGTTCTCAACCTGGTGGTCGCGACCCCCAGGGGGGTTGTTGGGCCATTTTGGGGGGTCGTGAAGCTGCCTCGGATGGCCCTGCCCCCTCCAAAATGGCTGCCAACTCCCTGTGCCAACCAAAAAGCTAGCACTCCTGGTCAGCTCCTCCTCCTGCTCTTCCCACAAGGCTGTGGGTTGCCAAGAGGAGGAGCTTGCAGGAAAAGGCACGTGCGGGAAAAAGGTTCACCTTGACTAGAGCAGGGCGCGGGTGCCAGGCGGAGGGCTGCCCTCACGGCCCTGTCATTTGGGCAGCCTTTCTGCCTGATCCCTGTGCCTTTCCCAGCTGGGAAGGGTGCGGGGGCCAGGCGGAGGGCTGCCCGCGTGGCCTGGCCGTCCATGGAGTGCTATGGCTGCCCGGCACTCACCCCCTGCCAAGCTCAGGAGGGGCAGAACCGCAGAAGGGCAAAATGCTCTTTGATGGTAGGGGAACTATACATCCCAGCAACTGCAACTCCCAAATGTCAAAATCTGTTTTCCTCAAACTCCACCAGTGTTCAAATTTGGGCATATTGAGTATTTGTGCCAAGTTTGGTCCAAATGCACAGTCGTTTGGGTTCACAGTGCTCTCCGTATGTAGGCGAACTCCATCTCCCGTAAATCATAGTCAATTCCTCCCAGCCCCCTCCAGTATTTTCAATAGATCCCATCATCAGCTGCTGCAATAGCAGACAGACTACAATCGTGCAGACAGACTACAAGCAGAGGCACAACACCGTTGCTCAGATGATTAATTGGAACTTGTGCCACAAATACCATCTGCCTGCGACAAAGAACTGGTGGGATCACCAGCCAGAAAAAAATTAGAAAATGCACATATCAAACTATTCTGGGACTTCCGGATTCGGACAGACAGAATTTTGGAACACAATACTCCTGACCTCACGATTGTGTTAAAAAACAAAGTATGGATTGTCAATGTTGCAATCCCAGGTGACAGCAGGATTGAAGAGAAACAACTGGAAAAGCTGACACGATATGAGGATTTAAAGATTGAACTGCAAAGACTCTGGCACAAGCCAGTCAAGGTGGTCCCAGTGGTGATTGGCACACTGGGTGCAGTGCCTAAAGACCTTGGTCTGCACTTAAACACAATCGGCGCTGACAAAATTACCATCTGCCAGCTGCAGAAGGCCACCTTACTGGGATCTGCACGCATTATTCGCCGATACATCACACAGTCCTAGACACTTGGGAAGTGTCCGACGTGTGATCCAATTCAACAGCCAGCAGAGTGTCTGCTGTGGACTCATCTTGTTGTGTTTCAAATAATAATAATAATAATAATAATAATAATAATAATAATAATAATAACAACAACAACAACAACAACAACTTTATTTTTGTACCCCACCACCATCTCCACGAAGGGATTCATTCATTTTTTATTTTTTATGTGTATTGTTTACATGCTTTGATTCCCACCCCCCTATTATTATGTTATTTTATTGTAATTTTGTATTTTTTGTATTGTAATTTGTTGTTTGGGCTTGGCCCCATGTAAGCCTAGACACTTGGGAAGTGTGATCCAGTACAACAGCCAGCATAGTGACCTTGTTTGCTGTGGACTCATCATGTTGTGCATCAAATAATAATAATAACAACAACAATAATAATAATAATGCATTATTCGCCAATACATCACACAGTCCTAGACACTTGGGAAGTGTCCAACGTGTGATCCAATACAACAGCCAGCAGAGTGTCTGCTGTGGACTCATCTTGTGGTGTTTCAAATAATAATAATAAAATAATAATAATAACAATAACAATAATAATAATGGACCGGCAGCCAGTGGAGTTGACATGGCAGGGAAGTGTCTGACGTGTGATCACATACCAAAGCAAGCAGAGTGATCTTGTTTGCTGTGTACTAATTTTGTTGTGTATCTAATAATAATAATAATAATAATAGATGATAAATAGATAGATAGATAGCCTTTTCTGTTGGTGGTATTGAAATTCAACAACCACCAGAGTTATCTTGTTTGCTGTGGACTCATCTTGTTGTGTATCAAATAATAATAATAATAATAATAACAACAACAACAACAACAATAACAACAACCTTGTAAAATTGCAGCTCTCATTATTCCATAGCATTGAGCCTTGGCAGTTAAAGTGGTGTCAAACTACAGTAATTCTGTTGTGCAGATGCACCTTGATTAATGAATTAATTGGTAGTTAATAGGTAGATCATTCAAACAGCCAATGATTTACAGGGCCGCATAATTTATTTTTGCACCCTGGTAGCTGTTTTCTATAGTACTTTTCTATGTCCTGCCTTACCGTTTGGGGATTCTCATAGACTATATGCGCAGAGCATAGGAGCTGTCCGTGGTCCTGAAAGACTATTTTATTAGATGGCCATTTCTCTCCAGCCTGGTTTGTCGGCTTTACAAGTCCTGTGATATTCTCACTGTGTTGCTCTCCACTTGGTACAAAGTCAAGAGTGCAATCTTTTTAACCCTTTCTTCCCTGCTTCTCTACCCCAGTTTCACCTCCTCCCCCTCAGCCGGCTGTCACCAGCCCCATAGTTTCTACCAGCCTTGTGACTGACCTTGAGGGCCTCACCTTGACCGATACTACTTTAGCCGCTGCTGTAAGTGACCTTGATTTATTTGAGTTGTTTGACATGTTAAACTTTTCTATCTAGTCGTTATTGCTTATCGCTTTATCCTTACAGTGAGGCTATGAGATTGATCAGGTTTTAATTTCCGTGTCAGGAGCGACTTGAGAAACTGCAAGTTGCTTCTGGTGTGAGAGAATTGGCCATCTGCAAGGACAATATCCAGGGGACGCCCAGATGTTTTGATGTTTTACCATCCCTGTGGAAGGCTTCTCTCATGTCCTCGCATGGGGAGCTGGAGCTGACAGGGGGAGCTCATCTATGCTGAGGGTGAAAAGGAAGGGGCCTGAGGCTGTTAGGAATGGTGGGAGTTGAAATCCAAAACACCTGGAGGGCCAAAGTTTGCCCAGGCCTGTGGTAGTCCTTTCCCCCCTCAGCTGCTTAAGCTTTGAGTCTCCTGGTGGGGCATAAATAAACATAATAATAATAACAACAGTGGGGTATAAATAAATATAATAATAATAACAACAGTGGGGTATAAATAAATATAATAATAATAACAACAGTGGGGTATAAATAAACATAACTATAACAGCAGTGGAGTATAAATAAACATAATAATAAAAATAACAACAGTGGGGTATAAATATACATAATAACAACAACAGTGGGGTATAAATAAACATCATAATAATAACAAAATAATAACAACAGTGGGGTATAAATAAACATAACAGCAACAGTGGGGTATAAATAAACATAATAATAATAACAACAGTGGAGTAATAATAACAACAGTGGGATATAAATAAACATAATAATAGCAGTGGAGTATAAATAAACATAATAATAACAACAGTGGGATATAAATAAACATAATAACAACAACAGTGGGGTATAAATATACATAATAAAAACAGCAGTGGAGTATAAATAAACATAATAATAATAATAATAACAACAACAGTGGGGTATAAATAAACATAATAATAATAACAGTGGGGTATAAATAAACATAATAATAACAGCAGTGGAGTATAAATAAACATAATAATAATAATAACAACAACAACACTAACAACAAGCTGTGTGTATAGAAAGGTACCAGCCCCGGTCACTTCCCTCTTCCTCTTCATAGATGATCAGCCCTGTGTTTGGGGCAGTGAAGACCTACGAACTCCTGCACCGCATGACAGGGGAAGGCCTCTCGGTGGAGTATTACTTTAGCCGGCAACCGTTTCCTCCCGACTCCCGTATGGTGGCCGTCCAGATCCAGATCTCCAACAACACGGCGGCCGAAGTGAAGAACATCCGTGTCAATGAGCCCAAGCTGATCTCAGGCATGCGGGTTCAGGAGTTCCAGGAGATTGGTAAGGTCTATGTGTCTCTGTTGGTGTGTTGGGGGTTCAGCAGGGAGATGTCCTCTATTGTGATCTCTTTCATTGATTTCTCACAGGCATGGGTAAACTGGCACTCCAGGTGTGTTGGACTTCAAGTCCCATAATTCCTAACAGTCTCAGGCCCTTTCCTTTTCCCCCTCAGCCACTTAAGCATTGGTTATGGGCCCAGCACCCAGCTTAATATTGGTTATGGGCCCAGCACTCAGTTTAACTTTGATTATGGGCCCAGCACCCAGCTTATCTTTGGTTATGGGCCCAGCATTCAGCTTAAATTTGGTTGTGGGCCCAGCACTCAGCTTAATTTTGGTTATGGGCCCAGCACTCAGCTTAACTTTGGTTATCGGCCCAGCATTCAGCTTAACTTTGGTTGTGGGCCCACCACTCAGCTTAATTTTGGTTGTGGGGCCAGCAGTCCGTTTAACTTTGGTTATGGGCCCAGCACCCAGCTTAAGCAGCTGAGGGGGGAAAGGAAAGGGCCTGAGGTTGTTAAAAGTTGTGGGAGTTGAAGTCCAAAACACCTGGAGGGCCCATTTTTACCCATGCCTGAGTTAGAACAACTGTCCTCAGTTTGGAGCCATAAGCATAGAAGTTCATTTAGTTCTACTTCTAACTGGATGCCTTTTCTCTTGGGCTTTGCAGAGACTTTACCACCTGGTGAAACGGTCAATGTAGTTATGGGCATAGACTTTTGCGACTCCACCCAAGCTGCAAGCTTCCAGTTGTGGTACGTTCCTAACTTGCACAGGTACACTAGGGCATACTTTAGGCATAACAAGAGAATGCTAACACTGGATTATAAAATGGGAGGCAGGAAGGAATATGCCAGCCTTCACATCGCTTTGATTATTTATTATTATTATTATTATTATTATTATTATTATTATTATTATTATCTCCTCTCCCAAAGGGGACTCAAAGCAGCTTAAGATAAAAGCAATAGAATACAATTTAAAATATAGAAATATGCAAACATTATTATTATTATTATTATTATTATTATTATTATTATTATTATCTCAGCCAGGGTTTTTAAAAACATGCGGCCTGCCCTTTGTTTGTCTACCATTATGCTTAGTTCCTATGTTTTGTGTATATTGTTTTATATGATTTGATGTTTTATCTTTTACTGTTACATTGTTTATTTGATTGTAATTTGTATTGTTATATTGTAATTTTTGTTCGGGCTTGGCCCCCTGTAAGCCGCTCCAAGTCCCCATTGGGGAGATAAAGTTTACTATTATTATTATATACAAATAAAGCTTATTATTAATGTTATTATTATTATTATTATTATTATTATTATTTATTGTTTTTGTTTATTGCTTTTGTTTTTATTGATGTGTTGTTGGGCTTGGCCTCATGTAAGCTGCTCCGAGCCCCCTTTGGAGAGATGGTAGTGGGGTACAAATAAAGATTATTATTATTATTATTATTATTATTATTATTATTATTATTATTAAAATCATTTTATGTACATTCGGCCCGCCCTCTGTCATTTTGTTATTATGTTTAGTTCCTATGTTCTGTTTATATTGTGTTAGATGCTTTGATGTTTTATTTTAATGTTATGTTGTTTATTTTATTGCAATTTGTGTTGTTATATTGTAATTCTTGTTCGGGCTTGGCCCCATGTAAGCCGCTCCGACTCCCCATTGGGCAGATGGTGGCGGGGTACAAATAAAGTTTATTATTGTTATTATTATTATTATTATCATCATTATCATTATCATTATCATTATCATCATAATCCTAGAAATGATCCCATTCATCTGTGTTTAGCAAATGGGTCGTCCAAGACCTTGTGCTGCAAATAGGGTCCCACCTACCCACTTGAAACATGATAATCAGGAGTGGTTTGTCACCCGAGATAGAAAATCTCATGAACTGTTTCAGTGGGGTTTCTATGCAAGCAGCTCATGGTGGATGGCCTCTTTCTCCCCCCAGCACGCATACCCGCCAGTTCTACGTCTCCATCCAGCCTCCCGTGGGGGAACTTATGGCTCCCGTCTTCATGAGTGAGAACGAATTCAAAAAGGAGCAAGGTCAGTGCTTTGTTTGGGGTGGAAGGAAGTGCATTTCTGTCCTTTTCTAAGGCAGGGCAGAATTTGACAGCGTGTTGGCCCAAACTTTTGCAGGAATGTCTTGGGGACACGCTTGCTTTGCTACAATCCGGGGGTGCCACATTGCCCTAGAAGAGAAGCAAGGCTGTATTAAAGAGGGGAGAACCACATTGACCTATTTGGGTTCCTCAACCAATATTTTGCTGAAGGCTTCGGCCGAAAGCTGGAAACTTCCCCCAACAAGTGTGGATATTCTGACCGGGGGATTCTGGGAGTTGTAGTATTGCAACACTCTGGATCCTCCAAAAAGGACAGTGAGACCAGTCAACGGCCTGAAGAAACCGTACTTGTGCCTGTTCCCTGCTTTAATCGAAGAGACAGGATTGATCCCATCTCCCAGGCCATAAGCCACAAAAAAACAAGACCTCTTAGGTTTGAAACTGCATTATATGGACAGTGTAGCTCAAGCATGGGCAAACTTCGGCCTTCCCTCCAGGTGTTTTGGACCATCCCTAACAGCCTCAGGTCCTTTCCCTTTCCCTTTCCCTTTCAACTGCTTCAGCTGAGCGCTGGACCCATAACCAAGGTTAAGTTGAGTGCTAGGCCCATAACCAAGGTTAAGCAGGTGTTGGGCCCTTAACCAAAATTAAGCTGAGTGCTGGGCCCATAACGAAAGTTAAGGTGAGAGCTGGGCCCATAACCAGGGTTAACCTTTGTGCTGGGCCCATAACCAAGGTTAAGTTGAGTGCTGGGCCCATAAGCAAAGTTAAACCGAGTGCTGGGCCCATAACCAGGGTTAAGCTTTGTGCTGGGCCCATAACCAAGGTTAAGATGAGAGTTGGGCCCATAACAAAAGTTAAGCTGAGAGCTGGGCCCATAACCAAGATTAAGCTGAGAGCTGGGCCCATAACCAAGGTTAAGCTGAGTGCTGAGCCCATATCTGACACATAAGCGGTTGAGGGGGGAAAGGAAAGGGCCTGAGGCTGTTAGGAATGGTGGAAGTCCAAAACACCTGGAGAGAAGGCCCAAGTTTGCCCATGCCTGAGCTACACTTTGTCAGGAGAAGAAATTCCTCTGGCTATCGCCCAACCCAAATAACTCCATCCATGCCTGTCTGTCTGGGTCGAGTATCATTTGCCCCATTCTTTCATTTCCCCGAATGTTTCGCACCGCGGTGCCTCCTCTTGCTGAAAACAAAATTGGGCCAAATTGCAAAGGAGGCTCTTTCCCACGAAGGAGGCCATCCTCCGTTGAGGACCCACCTTTTACCTCCTTTGAGCTGGCCATGGTTGCGGGGAGAGCACCCGGGGGCCGTGCCATCTGCCGATGCTAACCGTGTGTTTTGTTCTCCTCTGCTGCCTTGTCGCATTCTTGCTTCTTTGTTTTTTTTCCCCTTCAGAGCAACTGTTAAAGATGGGTGTGGGTAAGTGCCAGCCAGCACAGGTAGTCCGTTTTCCTGCGGATGCTGCCGCCGCTCTTTGCTCCTTCTAGCCTTAGCCAGCTCTGCTTCCACTGGGGGGTCTCTTTCCTCTCCTAGCCGTAGTAGCCAACATAGCACTGCTTCCACCCTGGGGAGCCTTCTCTTTTCTCACAAGCACCGCTTCTAACTGCAGGCACACAATCCCTTCTCCTTGCTCCTTCTCCGCACCCTTTTCCCCCTCTTCCTAGGAGTAGTGCTGCTTCTGTTGTAAACAAACCTATTGTTGTGGCTCAGCTTGACTCTGAGTTTGAAGCTGAGCTCTGTGAGCCAGAATTCCTACAGGATGAGGATGATGGGTTACAGATTTCTATACATGCTTCAGACAGGCCTGACGGTGAGGCTTCTGAAGGGGAAACAGTCACTCAGTTCCCAGGGGAAATGAATGTTAGTGAGATTGATAACGAGAGTGAATTCCCAAACGGCCAGGTGGAGACGTCTTTGCCTTCCCACAGTGATCTGGTCCAGCTGGACCAAGATAAGGGGTTACATAGCCTTGAAGATAATGAATTAATGAGCAGGCAAGATTGTCTCCAATTAAGGCTCCGGAGAAGCACTCGCTTGACCAGCAAGCAAGAAGCCAAGGAGGCCAAGGGTCAACGCAATGTGTTCATGTCTGCAAAGAGTATTTAGCCTTGTAGCTGACAAGCAGGGGCTGTCAGTCCAATGTAGCTCTTCTCATGCAAACTTCTGTGGATTAACTTTGGCTTTTAGCAGCACGCTTCTGGCTTTCCGAGTCTGGGATTTGGGCCTTGTTTTCAACTGTGTTCCATGGACTCTTGTTTGATCTTTTGCTAAAGGATTATGCTTCATGTTTTTGCCTTTGGATCTTGGGAACTGTGTCTTTGCATTTAAGCCTTTGATCTGCCTATGGATTTTATGCATTTCATATGCTCTGTTTTGATTTTGCCTTTTTCTCAATAAACTACAAAACCTACAGCTTTGGTGTGGTGGTGTCTGGAGCAAGGTGAAAACTACCCTGAGTTGCAACACCTATTTTCTCTTGCACACAAGGATGCCTGCCATAGATGCAGGAGAAACGTCAGGAGATGTTTCCAGAACGTGGCCATACAGCCTGGAAAACACAACAAGGATGCTTACCATAGATGCAGGCGAAACATCAGGAGATAATGCTTCCGGAACGTGGCCATACAGCCTGGAAAACACAACAAGGATGCTTACCATAGATGCAGGCGAAACGTCAGGCGAGAATGCTTCGGGAACATGGCCATACAACCCGGAAAACACACAACAAGGATGCCTGCCGTAGATGCAGGTGAAATGTCAGGAGAGAATGCTACCGAAACGTGGCCATACAGCCCAGAAAACACACATGAAGGATGCCTGCCATAGATGCAGGTGAAATGTCAGGAGAGAATGCTACCGAAACATGGCCATACAGCCTGGAAAACACATAAGAAGGATGCCTGCCATAGATGCAGGCGAAACGTCAGGAGAGAATGCTTCCAGAACGTGGCCATACAGCCCGGAAAAAACACAACAACCCAGTGATTCCAGCCATGAAAGCCTTCGACAATACATTGTTTGCAAACTTTTTGTTTGTGTCAGGAGTTGAGAAACTGCAAGTCGCTTCTGGTGTGAGAGAATAGGCCGTCTGCAGGGATGTTGCCCAGGGAACGCCCGGATGTTTTACCATCCTGTGGGAGGCTTCTCTCCTGTTCCCCTGCATGTGAAGCTAGAGCTTGAGACGGGAGCTCACCCCGCTTCCCGGATTTGAACCGCCAACCTGTTGGTCAGATAATACTCCAATATATGTAGATATGGCATACTCTGATTATTCCCTTTCATTCTATTGTGGTCTACAAAGTTGGCCCTTGAGAACTTTGCAATCGAGTTACCAAAAAATATCTTAGTTTATGAATTTGTATTGCGTTGCATTCATGTTGCCCGTGGGCCGTGGATAGGCCAGATGTAAATAGAGTTTGCTACTATTTGTTAATTCCTCATTTCCACAGCAAGTCCAGGAATTTATCCTCCACAGATGTGGGGTTTGTATTATATTTTTTAGAAAGGGGATTTGCAGAAGACCCTGGCGTGCAGAATTGTTTGAACCCTGTATTGCAATACCAAATGTAATTGCAAGCATAGGAAATTGTTCATTGCGTTCCCAGAAGCCCCAGACAAGTGTGCGTTGATGTTGTTCACTGTTCACAACATCTAGAGAGGCAAGGTCTATTGCAAAGTGAAGATTTGAGTATCGAAAATGGGGAAAGGGCTCTGATGCTTCCACCTTATGGCGGCCGCACAGTTTTCGGCCTCTGCCTGCCTCCACAGCAGAGTTGCATGTGTTTTGCATGTTCCTCCTGCGCCGCAGCAGAGCCCACCTGTGTTCCCAGGGCAGGGAATGTGACTTCCCCCCTTCTTTTGACTATGGCAACAGCGCACTCAGCATCCAAAGGTTTCTGCATGGTCCAGTGAGGCAGCCTCTTGGCATGTGAACCCCTCGCATCCAGGCATCCCCTCCCTTTAACACACTGAGCTTCACCCATTCCTGCAAGGAAGGGGGTTATGAACCCGACTCAAGGCCAAGAGAACGATCCTTGTGTGAGATGATCGTAGGCATGCTTCTTGGGAAATACTTCAAAATACAGAATTGCAACAAGACTCTATTTGCTTACATAGATGTTCTTGTGATCCGCACTAGTCCCACTTGTTTGCTTTTGTGTGTGTTGTTTACTCAAATTGCAAAGGAGGATCTGTTTCAAGATTCCATGTGTTATAAGTTAGGGGTCAAATTCAAATTAGCCTTTCCATTCTATGGGTAATTTAGCCCTTTTGTCTTTCCTTTCTCTTTCTCCTTCCTTCCTTCCTTCCTTCCTTCCTTCCTTCCTTCCTTCCTTCCTTCCTTCCTTCCCTCTTTCCTTTATCCTTTGCTTCTTTCCTCCTTTCATCCTTCCCTCCTTCCTTTGCTTTCATCTTGCCCTTCCACCCTTTCATCCTTCCTTCCTTTCCTCCCTCTCCCTCTTTTTCTTTCCTTTCTTTTTGACTTTCCTTCCTTCTCTCTTTCCTTTATTCTTCCCTTCCTTCCTTCATCCCTTCCATCCTTCCCTCTTTCCTCCCTTTCTGTGCTTCCTTCCCTTCTTCCCTTTTGTCTTTCATTCCTTCTTTCGTTTATCCTTCCCTTTCTTCATCCTTTTCTTTCTTCTCTCCATCCTTCTCTTCCTATCTTTCCCCCCTTTTTCCTTCCTTCCATCCTTCCCTTCCACTCTTTCATCCTTCCTGCCTTCCTTGTTTCCTCCCTCTCCGTCCTTCCTTTGCTTTTTTCCCCTTCTCTTTCATTTATCCTTCCCTTTCTTCATCCTTTCCTCCATCTTTCTCTTCCTACCTTTCTTCTTTTTCCTTCCTCCCATCCTTCCCTTCCACTCTTTCACCCTTCCTGCCTTCCCTCCCTCCCTCTCTCCTTCCTTCCTTCCCTTTCATTCCTTCTCTTTCATTTATCCTTCCCTTTCTTCATCCTTCCTTCCTTCCCTCCATCTTTCTCGTCCTACTTTTCTTCCCTTTTTCCTTCCTCCCACCCTTTCCTTCCACTTTCATCCTCCCTGCCTTCCCTCTTCCCTCTCTCTCCTTCCTTTTCTTTCATTTCTTCTTTCATTTATCCTTCCCTTTCTTCATCCCTTCTTCCTTCCTTCCCTCCATCCTTTTCCTTACTTTCTTTCTTCCCTCCCTTCCTTTCTTCATCCTTCTCTTCCACTCTTTCATCCTTCCTGCCTTCCCTCTTTCCTCCCCTTTGTCCTTTTGTCCTTCATTCCTCCTGTCTTTCTTACTTTTCTTTCCTTCCTCTCATACTTCCCTTCCACCCTTTCATCCTCCCTCCCTCCCTCCCTCCCTCCCTCCCTCCCCATTTGTCTTTCCTTTCCTCCCTCCTTCCCTTGCATCCTTCCCTTCCTCCCTTTTGACCTTACTTCCTTCTCTCTTTTGTTCATCCTTTCCTTCCTTCCCCCCATCTTTCTCTTCCTACCTTTCTTCCTTCTCTTCTTCCTTCCTCCCATCCTTACCTTCCACCCTTTCATCCTCCCTCCCCTTTTGTCTTTACTTCCTTCTTTCCTCTCTCCTTCCTTCCTTCCTTCCTTCCTTCCTTCCTCCCTCCCTCCCTTCCTCCCTCCCTCCCTCCCTCCCTCCCTCCCTCCCTCCCTTCCTTCCTTCCTTCCTTCCTTCCTTCCTATCCATCACCGGGCAGCCAGTCCTTCTTGCAGGGAGTGCTAGCATGTGGCCTCCAAATTGGAAAGTTTGCCCAGGTCTGGTGCAATCTGTCCCAATTCCAACCTGCTACTACAAAAGATTACGAAGCTAAATATTATGAATCTAAAATAAAATTAAACCTATACAGGAGTTTGCATACACTAGTCTAGTACCTGAAGAGAAGCAGCAGAGGCAGGTGTAAGTACGTCAGCATCCACAGGATCGATTCCCAAGCGGAGCAGCCACTCAGTGAACCCATCCACCATCCCCGAGAATTTGCACATCTCGGTGTATTTGGTATCTTAATGCATCTGAGAGTAACAAATATTTAGGGCCTTCTGTTTGGGTCGCATTGCAGCTCCTGCCATGGGGGAGTCTCATTTAGAAAGTGCAGATTCCTGACTTTTGCAGAAGGTTCCAAAGTTGAAGCTAATGGAAAGCCGTAAATAGAACCTTAGGCTGGAGGGGAATTGACGCTGTCTCCCCTCGTCTTATTTTTGAAGTAAAATTTTGCTGTTGGCCAGATGACTACTGATATCATGCTCTTTCTCTCCTCCAGGGAAGTTGACAGGGATGAGCGAGATCACGGAGAAGCTGACGCTACCGGACAAATGCCAGAGTGACCACGTGATTGTCCAGCAAGTGACGGCCGCGGCCAATGTGAGCCGTGTGCCCTGCGGCTCCGACAAAGAATACCGGTGAGATGGCCAGGACGTGACCACAGGAGTCTCTGCTGTCTCTTGAGCTCACCAGGGCATTTAGGCCAGAAGTAAAATGAAAGAGAGAAGGAAGGAAAGAAAAGAGGAAGGGAAGGATGGAAGGAAAAAAAGAGAGGGAAGAAAGGTAGGAAGAGAAGGATGGAGGGAAGGAAGGATGAAGAAAGGGAAGCATAAACTAAAGAGAAGGAATGAAAGAAAAGGGAAGGAAGGAAGGAAGGAGAAGGAAGGAAGAAGGGAAGGAGAGGAGGAAAGAGGGAAGGAGAAAGAAGAGAGGAGGGAAAGGAAGAAGGTAGAAGAGAAGGATGGAAGGAAGGAAGAGAAAGAAAGGGAAGGATAAACAAAAGAGAGAAGGAAGGAAAGTCAAAAGGGAAGGAAGGAAGGAAGAAGGAAGGAAGAGGGAAGGAGAGGAAGGAAAGGGAGAGAAAGAGAAGGAAAAGGTAGGGAGGGAAGAAGAAGGAGGAGAAGAAAGGGAAGGATAAACTAAAGAGAGAAGTAATGAAAGAAAAGGGAAGGAAGGAAAGGGAGAGGAAGAGAGGAGAAGACGAAAGAGATGAAGGAGAAGAAGGAAAAGAGGAAGAAGAAAGAGAAGAGGAGAAGGAAGAAGGATGAAGAAAGGAGAAAGAAAGAGAGAAGGAATGAAAGAAAAGGGAAGGAAGGAAGGAAGGAAGGAAGGAAGGAAGGAAGGAAGGAGAGAGGGAGGAAAGAGGGAAGGCAGGAAGGATGAAAGACTGGAAGGGAAGGATACCGGTGAGATGGCCAGGACATGACCACAGGAGTCTCGGCTGTCTCTTGAGCTCACCAGGGCATTTAGGCCTATAAAAGCAAACACACATATATACACAGCTACATATATATACACACACACAAAATACCTATGCACAGACTGAGCCACAGCAACGCGTGGCAAGGGACGGCTAGTATATATATATATATATATATGTGTGTATGTGTGTGTAGTTTTCTGCATGCATTGTAATGTAATTTCTGTTTTTTGGCTTTTTAAGTCCCTTCTGCTGTGTTTTTCCGTGTTTTTATGAGTGATGGCCACTCGTTGGCCTGAGAAATGTCTTGTGTCTAAATTTGGTGTCAATTCGTCCAGTGGCTTTTGAGTTAATCCCACAAGCAAACATTATATTTTATTTATATAAATTACAGTGATATACCCCACCTTTCTTTACCCGAAGGGGACTCGAAAGCGGCTTACATATAGGCATATAATGGCTTAAAACACATACAATTCCAATAACATTAAAATTAAAATTAATACATATTAAGCATTTAAAAACATTACATTCAATATTAAAAATCACACCATCCATAATCATAGTCCAAACCTTTCCATAATTATTGCACATATTCAAAATCTGTTATTGCACTGCACTATTCTCCCAAAGCCTGATCCTAAAGCCAAGTTTTTACTTTCCTTCTGAAGGCTAGGAGGGAGGGGGCTGATCTAATGTTGCCAGGGAGGGCGTTCCATAAGCCAAGGGGCCACCACTGAGAAGGCCCTCGACCCCACCAGTCGTGCTTGCGACGGAGGCAAGACTGAGACCAGGACCTCCCCCGACAATCTTAATATCCGAGGTGGTTCATAAGGGGGATATTTTTATTTATTTACAACATTTATATGCTGCCCTTCTCACCCCAAAGGGGACTCAGAGCAGCTTACAAGATATATATACATACAATATATTATATTATTAGCATAGTACAATATCAGTATTAATTATTACTATATTGTATTATACCATTATATTGTATTATTAGTAATATTACATGTAATATAATATATAATTATAATATCATATTATTATTATTATTATTATTAGTAGTAGTAGTAGTAGTATTAGTATTATATATGCCGCCCTTCTCATCCCAAAGGGGACTCAGAGCGGCTTACAAGATATGTACATAAAATATATTATATTATTAGCATAGTCCAGTATCAGTATTATATATTACTATAGTGTATTATATCATTATATTGTAATATTATTAGTAATACAACATGTAATATAAAATATATAATTATAATATCATATTATTATTATAATTAGTAGTAGTAGTAGTAGTATTAGTATTGCCCTTCTCACCCCGAAGGGGACTCAGAGCGGCTTACTATATATATATATATATATATATATATATATATATATATATATACACACACACACACACACAATATATATTATTAGCATAGTACAATATCAGTATTTTATATTACTATATTGTACTATACCATTATATTGTAGTATTATTAGTAATATATAATATATAATATTGTATTATTATTAGTATTATATTGTATTACATCATAATATTATAAATATTATATGTATATACAATATATTATATTACATTACATTATATTATTAGTGAAGCACAGGACACAAGATGGAACTGTCTTCTGCTCCCCCCCCCCCCCCCACTCTGATACATTCAAATAGGTAAGCTGGGTCGGAACCATTTAATAATAATAATAATAATAATAATAATAATAATAATAATAATAAAACTTTACCATCTCCCCAAGGGACTCGGTGCGGCTTACATGAGGCCAAGCCAACAGTACATCAATAAAACGAAGGCAATAACAAAATAATCAATACAAAACAATAAAATAAATATCAAAACAAAAATAAACAATTAACAATAACATACAAACATTAAAAAACCTATGGCCAGGCCAAATGTAATAATTTAATTTTTTAAGAAAAATATTACATTTAAAAAAAAAAATTAGGACTTTATAGGCTAAAGCCGGGACTTTGAATTGTGCTTGTAAGCAGACTAGCAGCCAGTGGAGCTGGTGCAACAGGAGAGATGTCCTCTCTCAGTATGCCTCTCTGGTGATCAACCTGGCTGCTGACCGTTGGGTCAATTGAAGCTACTGAACAGTCTTCAAAGGCAATCCCATGTAGAGTGTGTTGCAGTAGTCTATACGGGGTGTAACAGGAATACCGTGCCAAGTATGTTGTTGGACTTTCATTCACATCAGTCCTAACTAAGATAGGGAGTGATGAAGGGTGATGGTCATTGCAGTCTGGAGGACTATTTCTTTCTCCACCGGTGTATGCAATAGTCGCTTGCAATGCATACAGTGATGTCTTTTGCCGTTTCCTCTGGGCAGGTTTGCCGCGAAGACGGTTAGCAGCGGAAGCCTGATCCTCGTCACGCTGGAGAAGAAGACGGGCAACGTGGCCCACCTGACCATCAACAGCGAGAAGATGCTGATCGGCACCATGCTGGTGAAGGACATTATCCACTCCTTGACACAGTGACCAGGCAGTCGTCATGTCGGTTGTCTCACCCGTTTCGGACACCCAACCCTCCTGCCTTCTTGCCTCGTCCACCCGCCTCTTTGTCTGGACATAAAGTGAAGCGTAGGAATACCGATGAAAACATCTGCAGCAGCAAATGGGCTGCAAACTTCAACGTGGCAAAGAGAGGTTGGGTCAGCAGTAAATTCAGGGTGGAAGGTTCCTGCAAATGAGTTCGACATCCTTGTGATCCGGTGTGTCTCCGTTCCTCTAGTATTCCGTTCCATGGCACTATTTATTATTGGCAACAGTGGTTCAATAAAAGTTCTCTCTTCACTCAATTTCTGTCTGCTGGGGTTTTTGCATCCCAAGAAACAGTCATATCAGAGGGTTGTTGTGGGTTTTTTATATGGCCATGTTCTAGAGGCATTCTCTCCTGACGTTTCACCTGCATCTATGGCAATTATCCTCAGAGGTTGTGAGGTCTGTTGGAACTAGGAAAATGGGTTTATATATCTGTGGAATGACCAGGGTGGGACAAAGAACTCTTGTCTGTTGGAGCTAGGTGTGAATGTTTCAACTGACCACCTTGATTAGCATGTGATGGCCTGGCAGTGTCTGGGGCAATCTTTAGTTGAGAGGTGATTAGATGTCCCTGCTTGTTTCCTCTCTGTTGTTTTGCTGTTGTAAATTTAGAGTTTTTTTAATACTGGTAGCCAGTTTTTGTTCATTTTCATGGCTTCCTCCTTTCTGTTGAAATTGTCCACATGCTTCTTGTGGATTTCAGTGTCTTTTCTGTGTAGTCTGACATGGTGGTTGTGAGAGTGGTCCAACATTTCTGTGTTCTCAAATAACCTGCTGTGTCCAGGTTGGTTCATCAGGTGCTCTGCTATGGCTGACTTCTCTGGTTGAAGCAGTCTGCAGTGCCATTCATGTTCCTTGATTCGTGTTTGGGCAATGCTGCTGCATTTGGTGGTGCCCCTGGAGACTTGTCCACAGCTGCATGGTATCCGGTAGACTCCTGCAGAAGTGAGAGGATCCCTCTTGTCCTTTGGTGAACATAGCATTTGTTGGATTTTCTTGGTGGGTCCAAAACAACAGAGAGGAAACAATCTAATCACCTCTCAACAAAAGATTGCCCCAGGCACTAACAAGCCAAGCCAAACAACTGCCAGGCCATCAAATGCTAATCAAGGTAGTCAGTTGAAACATTCACACCTAGTTGAGGTGGAATTTGGAAGTCGAGGAGGAATTTGGAAGAGTCTCGCCCTAAAGGAGAGACCCTGCGAACCCACCAAAGAGGGCTCGCTACTTTGGTGAGCAAAAGAAAAGAAGCCGCAGTTTAAAAGATTTCCCTAAGTTCCCAAAAGAATCTCACTAAAGCTGAAGGAAGTGCCACCGAGTTGATTTTATTGTGATCCAACTGGAAAGGATGCAAAGCCGCAATCATTTGTCAAGCAAAGCATACAGTGTACACAAAATAAAGCCTTTATATACATAAAACAGAGCTGTCTGATTGGTTGGCGCTCTACAGCTGGGAGGAGGCTTGGCCGCCTCCTGAGCGCCTTAATCAATGGGTGAGCTCTCGCCACTTCGGCCTCCTGGCCAATCAGGAGAGAAGGAGGCGGGACGAGAGGGAAACAATGAGAACTGGAGTGGATTATGGAAATATGTGGTGTCCATGTGGTCAGTGAGTCCTCAGGGAGCCTTCTAGCCGACCAGCCTATTGTCTTGAGGGGTGGCAATCAATGTTGATGTCTGGCATGATGGTCAGGATCCAGATTTTTCTTGAACTGAGATATGGAGACAATGGGGTAATCCTGGCTGTAGTTTTGGTGGATGGAAGATAACTGAGAGAACAGATCAGGACGAAGTGTGGCTTTCTGAAGGCCCTTTGTCCTGTTGAGATATGATCAATCATGCCAAGTGTGCACTTTCTGCTGGGGGGCCAAACTCCGAGCCCCAGGGTCAAAGCCCATTGTATTGTCCATGCAAATATGTCTTTTGACAAAGTGCTTTTCAAACAGGGGATTTCCTCCTTCCAGAGTCACTGAGAGTGGCTTCTTATATTTTTTTATACATTTTTTAATAAAGGGAATAGGACAGAAGGGTCAGGCAAAGGTGATTCATAGGGGGCTTGAAAAGGTAAAGTTTCCAAAAAGTTTCTAAGAGCCCTTCAGAAGGGAAAAAAATCCCATAGAAGTTCAAGAGAATACATAAGTGTAAAGGGAGGGAGTTTCTCAGTAATAAATGTGTTACCTTCTGCTATATATGAAACCTAGGGCATAAAACCTTGATTAAATGTACACACTATCTAAAATGGGAAGGGTCCTTGTTGTTGTTAGTGTCTTGGCAAATTGACCAAGGCTTAACCCTTATTATCCAGTCTGGTGTCCTTGTCCTTAGCAAAACTATAAGTTACTATCTTTTTTTTGGGGGGGGGGGGGTCATGTTCGACTTCAATATGATGAGCGGCAGATCCTGACATCTAAGGATAACAATTGTGCAAATGTGTGTAAAAAGGTAAAGGTAAAGGTAGTCCCCTGACATTAAGTCCAGTCATGTATGACTCTGGGGTGTGGTGCTCATCTCCATTTCTAAGCCGAAGAGCCAGCGTTGTCCGTAGACACCTCCAAGGTCATGTGGCCGGCATGACTGCATGGAGCGCCGTTACCTTCCTGCCGGAGCGGTACCTATTGATCTACTCACATTTGCATGTTTTCGAACTGCTAGGTTGGCAGAAGCAAGTGTGTGTACATATAGGCATTCATGCTGTTTTTCCTCTGGTAATTTTACTGACTTTCGGCCAAAACCCCACGGCAACGCACAGCAATAAAAACAAGAAAGAACACCACGACACTATTCCCCTACTTTCACTGGGGTGAGGAGCAAAAGGAAAACACAAAAAGTCACGGTTAACTTCTGGAGTTGCACGGGAGGATCTACAAATGCCCAGTTTCGGGGGGGGGGGCTGAGTTTGAGTGAAAGAGGGTCTAGCCTAGCAAACCTTTTGTATCATTACCCCAATACCCCCATGCATATGGGATATATTGAGTATAGTGATCAGATCATGATATGAATAAACATAACAGTTTAAATAATGCACCAGTAAACCACCAGGAGAATTTCGTGAACCACCAGGAGAATTCTGGGAGATGAAATTCAAAATATCAGGGGTTTCAGAGGTTGCGAACTATTGCTCTACAGCAGACATTGGGGCAAATTTTGGCCCTCCAGGTGTTTTGGACTTCCAACTCCTGCCATTCCTAACAACCTACCATCATCATTCACCTAGCCAAAAAACCTCAGGTTGTTATTATTTCACAGCTGAACTAGCTTCTACAACTAAGGGTTTCCCACCACAAAAGACTTTGCAATGACGGAGAAAACATGCCAAATAAAGTGAAAGTAGACCAAAAAATATTATATCTTACTGTGTTGTTTCATTTAAAAAAAAAAATTTTTTTTTTTACTGTGCATTATTGTTTATCTCCGGCGGGAAGGTAACAGCGCTCCATGCAGTCATGCCGGCCACATGACCTTGGAGGTGTCTACGGACAACGCTGGCTCTTCGGCTTAGAAATGGAGATGAGCACCACACCCCAGAGTCAGACATGACCGGACTTAATGTCAGGGGACTACCTTTACCTTTACTATTGTTTATATCTATGGAGGCGTCAACATCTCTCAAGGGCTTCGAACCCCTCAAGGCCTCAATCTGGCTACTATGGATGATTTAGGACCGATTCTAGAAGAAGAAAGAAGCTTTGCAATTAAAGAATCGTCTTTCCATCTTTGACGGAAGGAAGAGGATGGCAGACCAATAAGCAATACATTTCCGGGTCCCCGGAGCCTTGCTTAAGAGCTAGTCTAGCTCAGCAGCGCATGCCAAGCAATGATGCCAACGTTTTGGTTTTTTTTTAAAAAAAAAAACAACAAACATACCCACTCATGCCATAGCTGTATTAAACTCAAGGGCTATTTTCCTCCTGTCTGATCGGGTTTTGCTTTCTGCTTTTTGGCAGGATAGAGAAGATTGCAGCTGTCAGCCTGCCTCCCGAAATGTCATTGCACACATTTTTGCAGGCAGAGAGCTCGAGGTTCAAGCCCTGCCATTTGCAGTTTGCAAAAAGAACCAGGTAGCAGATGGTTTGAAAGCACTTTACTTAAGGTCCCAGCAAACCATGGCAATTTGGTGCAGAAATCTAAAATGGTCCACATTTTCTAATGTTCCGCCATTAAGTTGTATCTATGGCATTGGAGAGGGATTGGCCGGTGATTGCTGGAAGAGCACTTTGGTTTTCTCGATGTTTAATGGAGCTTCTCATCTGCTTCTGCGAAGGTGTTTAGAGTGGCTTGTAGGTCTTCTTCTGAATGTGCACAGATGACGTTGTCATCAGCATACTGGAGTTCTATAAATCTAAAATAATGACATTACTGATTACCCATTATTATCTAGTACATGGAGCCCCTGGTGGCGCAGTGGGTTAAACCCCTGTGCCGGCAGGACTGAAGAACGACAGGTCGCAGGTTCGAATCCGGGGAGAGGCAGATGAGCTCCCTCTATCAGCTCCAGCTCCTCATGCGGGGACATGAGAGAAGCCTCGCACAAGGATGATAAAAACATCAAATCATCCAGGCGTCCCCTGGGCAACGTCCTTGCAGACGGCCAATTCTCTCACACCAGAAGCGACGCTCCTGACACGACAAAAAAAAAGTATTATCTAGTTCATAGATGGTTAACATGCAGCATATAAGCTGAGGCACCTAATTTTACCACAAAAAACTGGGAAAACATATTGACTCGAGTATAAGCCGAGGGTGGGAAATGCAGCCGCTACGGGTAAATTTCAAAATAAAAATAGATACCAATAAAATTACATTAATTGAGGCACCAGGAGGTGAAATGTTTTTGAATATTTACATAAAACTGTAATTTGAGATAAGACTGCCCAACTCTGATTAAACATTATTTTAACCTTCTTCAATGTAAATATACTTACACATCCTTCCAACAATAATAAAGAGAATAAAATAATAAATGTAATAATAATAATAATAATAACAATAGAGTAAAATAATGGAAATGCAATAATAACAGTAATAATAGAGCAAAATAATAAATGCAATAATAATAAAGTATAATAAATGTAATAATAACAATAATAAGAATAGGGTAAAATACTGTAAATGGAATAATAATAACGGAAGTAAAATAATACATGAAATAAAAATAATACTAATAACAGAATAAAACAATAAATAACCTTGACTCTAGTATAAGCTGAGGGGAGCTTTTTCAGCCTAAAAAGGGGGCTGGAAAACTAGGCTTATACTTGAG